ATTCTGGTAAGAGTTTTCAATTTTGTGGAGGTGACAGAAAAGAGAAAACTTTTCAAATTTCGTCTGAGTAATTTTATTTATTTAGCGTCAATTGATTAAGAGTCTTAATCTAAAGATTAAATCAAGACAGCAACAACTTCAAGTTTAAAGGTTTCATCAGAATATTTGTCTGAATTGCTTTTGGAAAGTCTGATATGCAAACAATCTCATGTCTGCTGTTTCCACATAGCACATTGTGTGACTTTCTAAAACATTTTCCAACCTTGTATAAGACAAATGTCATGTAGAAAAAGAAGCTTTCAAGTTTTATTGTTTCACTTCATTTCGTCTAACAATTTAAATATTCGCGGTTGTTGAACAATTGTAAAGAAGTAAGGAATAGAAGTTTGAAATTTAAATAAAACTTTTACGATTCCCTCGATTATTGTAAATGAACTTCTGTGTTGTGCATGTAAAGTATTTAACTACCAACACTCAGAGCTTGAATATATGTAACTCAAATTGAATTTCGATCAAAGTTACAAAGTAGATATCGTTAGCAAAGTTCTCAAGTTTACTTGAGTTCGCACTTTCTAAGTTGTTGATTACATACCAAAAGTTATCGACAGGACCTTCAAGAATGCTGTTGTTCATTAGATTAAAAATAAATCAATCAACCTACTGAAACTTGTCTAAAAAGTTTCCTATTAAAGCCTACAAGATATCGGCGTAAATATTTATCTTGACTAACTAACATGAAGTGATTGACGGTGGCAAAAATTAAGCATGAAAAGCCAATTTCCATCTCTTGAATCTTCATCATTAATGTTGACACCAATTAAATCTTTTGGACTTTACATTCAACAACTTCTTTTCAGATACTTACTGGAAAAAACTTGAAGGTTGTTCCTTCCATAAAAATCTTATCAACATTTTAAGGTGAAATCGACACCATTGTTATTTTAATAAAAATTGTTTCATAAACAACGCAGTGATGTTCTGGCAATGAATCTTTAATAGGAAACGCTTCCATTTAGTTGCTTGTGCACGAGGATTAAAAATATTACGATTATCTGGGAAAATTTATTTATCCCCAGGTCTTAAATTTCCATAATTTAATAGCAAAATTTTCTGAGTACTCTTGCGTTGAATATAGAACAAACTAAGAATGATTGAAATTCAACATAATCTAGCCGGTAGGAATTATTGAAATGTAAATAATTATAAAAAGGTTATTCATAATACATATGCCATGTTCTGCATGAAAAACAACTTTTAATTAAATACTTTCTTTAGGCATTGTTTGAACATCGAAAATACAAGTCAAACTTTGATTTTACATCAACTTCTGAAATGCATTTTCAATGTTTAGTAATGAGATAATTAAAATGAAATCTATGAATAAACATTCCAGCTATTGTTTGATTTCCAAGAGATTTTCAGTGAGCAAAGCATGTAAAATCAATTGCAGATCTACAAGTTAACATTATTAAATGCAAGATCAAATCATATAAAGGTTGAAATTATTCAAGCGATGTTGCTTAAGAACGAAGCTTACAGAAAATTTTCCTTTCGGAATCTTTCACAATTGAAATCCTCGAATGTTTAATTCAATTCTCGTATCTATCAAATTCCAAAGGGTCGAAATCGAAAAAATTACAGAAATATTGATTAAAATTTTAGCTTTCCTTATGATTATTAAAGCTTGTTTTAAATTAAATGAATAATTTTTTATCTCTCTTGAATCTTTCAATATAAAAGCATAAAAAATGAAAAAAGAAAATTTATGTTAATGTTGACTTACTTTGATGTGCTTCTCACGCTAATTTAATGAATATTATGTGTTAGATAACTTTCGACATTCTAAACAGCAAGACAAGTTAAGTAAAATTAATTTTTATGATGCATTAAAATTTTAAAATCCTCTTTGAAGTAGGAAGAAGAATTTAAGAAAATTGTACTCTCATCCTTTTAAGCTTTGGATTAACTTAGAATTCAATCCATTTAATGAACATATGATTAGAATCATTATTTGTAAAGAAAAATATTTGCCATGACAAATGGCATTACGTAACTTCATCCCACATATGTACAAAAATGTGTCAACAAGTTACGTCATGAATCAAAACGAAAAGAAAAAGAAAAGTGCAGAAAAGAAAACATGAAAACTCGAGAGATTTAATTTATCGAATTCATTATTACCTGAAAGCAATTTCATTCTCTAAACTTAACTATGTAAACGAAAGCCGTGATTTGAAGCTACTTTGAACCGCCATCATCATAAGCTTACCTTGAATAAGTTTTCTTTGCTCGAACTCTTAATATCTGCCGAGCTTGACACATCAATTATCTTCACTGCTATTGATTCTTACCAACTTGCTAAAACCTTTCGCCACATAAAGCCTTTTCAAACCCAAAGCTTAGACCTTTTTCTCATGCGATTATGAGTCGTGGGCTTTCAACCATGGAATCCTTCTTTAAATGGAAAAGCATTAACAACAAAATTTCAGTCTTCTAAAATATTTATGGAAGTGACGTATTTGTTGCAAAATATTTTAAGATGTTGAAATATTTTGATAATAATGTGAATCTTCAACAGGCGTTGATTCATTTTGTAGCTTGTAATGAAGCAAATCGTTTCAAGTCTTAGAAGTTGCTTCCTTTCCTAGCAACATGAAAAATCGATTTCATTTCCCTTTTTTGTATCATGAAACATTTTCGTGTCGCTATATTAAGTAGTCAAGCGTGTTCCATGAAAAAATGACAATGCTTTGAAAGCACTTAAAAGCTACATTATTTGAAAAATGAAGAGAAAAATTCATAAGAAGATTCTTTATGACTGGAGGACGTGATATGTTTAAAGTCTATGCTAATTAAAGTATCTATGTTTCCAGTGAAAATCATTTTAAAGCTTAAACACGTTTGTGATGCTTAATTTGGAAGAAATTGTTGCCTTTGAGTTGTTAAATTAATGAAATTAAACGACTTTATCAATTAAATACTATCCTGAATAGAAATGAAGAAAGAAGCTCATTAAAACTGAAAAATCATAAATATGAAAAGCAGTTATACAAAATTTCACGACAAATTAAATTTATTCATTGAAATTTATTTCACAAACATTTCTACTTGAAATTGACCATGTGTTGTCACTGACAACATTTGTTTTCCTTTTGAGCTTTGCGAAGACGATCTTTCAAATACGACAAACTTTTTCATTCTAAATTTTATTCAAACTTTAAAGAAAATGGAAGAAAACATATTAATAGATTTAAAAGTTTTCTTATCTTTTAAAACTTTGCTGAAATATTTGCAATAAAGTTTAACTTCTTAAGTAAAAATTTACAAAATGAAGCAACATACTCGAGAAGAAAGTTTAAATTACGATCAAGGAAGGAAAAATCATGGAAAATTTCTCAAACCTTTTGTTCCTTGTCGACAGATTCTTTTGTGAATTAAACAAAAATTTAATTTAATTAAGCGTACCTGGGTCAATGATGCTTCTAACCGTTTAATTTATCTCATCAACACGCATCTTCAAATTTCCAAAATTAGACTACAAGTAGGAAGATGCTAAAGCATGATTATGCGCCAAAAGGTACTCCGAGAAAGCTCTTCATTGTGATGAAGATTCGTTGCCTTCGCTTTTAATTACTTATTAGAATCGCAAACATGTTTCCCTTATCAGCAGAGGCGTTTTTCCTTTATCCTTTTTATCAGCTCCAAGGATAAAACTTCGTATTAATGAAGAAGATTTGAAATGTTTAATTCTGTAACATATTTGCATTTTATTGTTAACGAAAGCTTGTTTTAACATGGCTGACTATGAGATTAATTACTTGCGTTATTCGTTGTCTTCAACATTAAATATAAACGCTGCATTTATCTTAATAACATCCTGAGAGACTTTGAGATTGTTTGCGCAAAAATGAATAATAAAAACAAACAACATTATCTAAAAAATAAAACACAAACGATGGGTTGTGGTTGGTAATGTTCAAGCTGTGAAAACATAAACTTAATCAACATAAAACAAAATTATTGTTGATTGTTTCGGTTTCCACTGCTTGTTTTCAAATTAATTTCAAGTTCATCTAATTTCTGTATCGTAAAACATTCGATTAGAAATGCGAAAACTTTTCATATTTCTGTTTTCGCAGCTTGAGTAATTGATTGATAAGGAAGTGTGATGATGAAAGTAATCACATTAAAGATTAATATTATTGATGGAAAACTTGGAAACTACAAGCAAGAGAGAAATTGTATCTTGATTAGAAATGACAGAGTCTGAAATAAATTGCAAAAAATGAAAACATTTCACTCAATTTGTTGAATCCGATTCGGTCAACTTTAATTTTAAAATGATTCAATCGGATGTGGATTTTGGGATTATGATCTGCTATAAATAATGATGAGAAATAAATTTGTTTCAATGAAATGTTATTTACAAAACTGTTGCTTTCTTTCCCTTTTCAATTACTTACGCACTGTTCATCAGACTATTAATGATAAATATTTCCTTTAATGGATGAAATTACTTTTGAGAGTTCGTGGTCATATTTCATCGGAAAGAAGACATTTATTAGATTGTGGTTACAGGCAATTGATTCAGGAAAAACATTTCCGATTCAATGAAGATTGTTTTTCATTCAGGCGTTGGTTCTTTGTTATCACTTCGGTTTCTCTCGCTACGTATCATATTTTCAATATTCTGCTGTTGCTTACGTTCCATATCAATAGAAATTCTCCTTGTTTTTTCCTCATTTCTTATACAACTTGTGCTCATTTAATGAATTTTAATAAATCTACTTCAACATTGCAATGACTTTCTGATGTGAAACGTGACCATTGTCGATAAAATTCACTCCAATTATTTATTCTTAAAATAGAATGCTGCTTCTCATCATACACATTTTAATAAGAAAAACATTTTTAAACAAACAAAGAGTCGTCAAGAAATTCTTCTGCAGATATTTTTTATAACTTCTGACACAAAAAAAAAGAACAAAAAAATCATTTTTCTTCTTTTCCATTTATTAAAAGCTTTTAATATTTTCTTCTTCTTTACATATAAATTTTAAACATTAAGATACATTAACATTGATAGAAACATTATTTTTGTTGGGCTTTTGACATATTAAATCCAATTTAAAAATGTTTGAGTTTATTTTATGAAGTTTTTCAAAGGAAAAATAAAATCTTTTGATGAAATAAATTTTTAAGAAAATATTTATTTAATATTAGAATCATGGAAACTTGATGACACAAAAAAATATTACATTATGGATATCTTCAACAGTCCCTTTAAAAGTTTCAGTAAAATATCTTTAAGCTCTCTTCTTATAAGATGTCAAAAGCCCTCAAATCTCTTAAAGTTAAACTTTCAAAATGACTTTTATTAAAATGTTTCGTATTATTCATAAATATCTATCAGAGTCTTATACATCAATTCTTCATATTCATTAAACATCTTAAATCATCGAAAAATACAAATCTTTAAAACAGAAATGAGAAAATTCTCCTTAAACATTCGAATGTCATTTCATTACGCTTTGGTTGATGCTTTGACACATTTTTTACGATTTCCTCTCTTCTTATTTAATTTTTACACAGAGTTCTCATCGAGACCCTTCTGTAATTAAATAGAAGACAAAATTAAAATAAAGTTGAAGAAAGGAATGCTGAGAAATCAAAATCTATGATTGTTGTGATGGGAGACAGTAGAAGTTCATTTATTTATTTAATGCGTGAACATTTTAGTCAATTGACACCGATGAGGAAAATTGTGTTAAAGCACAATCAGAAGCTTTACCTACCATCATAGGACTAACCGCTCTAGGATTCGTTGCCATTTGGAAAGCACCATTTGGTCCAGGGTAGGATGCGTAATTTGATGAGAGTTCAGTAAGAATTGTGGTGGTCGTAACGTTCGATTCTCGCTTCTGGATGTTACACGTGAGCGGTCTTAAGGATGACAAGAATGAGAAAGAATGTCAAACAAAAATCGATAGAATGGAAAATGTTCAGTTGATGTTTTTTTCATTTTTCTACCTTAAACTCTCAGCTCTTGATTGTGATCTTTTCCCATTCTTTGTGAACCTACTGTAGAGAGTGATGGAAGGTCAAATGATTTCGGTTTAAGGACATTACCATCCCTACCTTCTGCCGATATGACTTTGACGGATTTGTGAGCATCTTATGTTTCTGGCATCGCGCCAACGATTTATACGATTCTTGATAGCTTTCCTCACTTCAGAGTTGAGGAAACAGTAGAAAAGTGCGACGGAAAACCCCTTTTAAATCATGCAACAAAAAAGAGAACATAAAAAACTTTCATCAATGAATATTTTTCTAAGACAATAAATTTTAAGTTAAGCGACAAATATTTTGTAATGCAAAAAGCTTTCCACATGAGTTTATTTTATTATGTGATAACAAAAATATGTAAGTTAAGTTTTGTAATGAAAAACTTTGGAATCACCTAACAATCTAGTAAAGCTTTTCCAATAAGTTTTGTAACAAAGTTTTCTGTTGGATAATCTAAAAATAATTTTTGAGTTCGCAATTTGTATTTATGTTTATAGACGAATTTAATTAATTCATCCGAGTCTGATCATATGATGAAGTGAAAACAAACATTCCATTTCGTAGAACTCCTTAATTTAATTTGTTTATTCATTAACATCAAATTATTATAAAATGAGCTCACAAATTCACAACATACATGAAGTTTTTTTGTTTATTTATGTTTAATGAGTAAAAAAATTGTTTTTACAAAATTTTGTTATGATTTCACGTAAACATGTGCGTCAATTTGATAGCTTGGAACATCTTCAACTTCAAAACGATATTCGAGACGATGTTCATGCATGATGTTTTCCACGTTGCCAAGAGGTTTCAATGTTCTCATTGGAGTCGTGAAAATCACATATCCCCAAGAATGATTGCCGATGTTTATGTCAAATTCCATAATGAACTTGCTTTTCGGATAACAATTCTCAAATGTTTTTGTTATTTTCCTAAAAAATTCGTCTTCAACATCGTAATTTCCAACAATTGCAATTCGAATATCTTGAAAGCTCAAAGTGATACTCGAGAAAACCACAAATGATACCAAAACGAATCTCATTTTAATGGAAAGAATTTTTGGTGAATGTTCTCACTCAGAATTAATTCGCTCGACTGTTTTTCGGATTTAGAAATTTTTAATGCTTGTTGTTTGTCATCAAAACCCTTTTAAAATTTTAAAATGTAATCTCAGATTTCAGAAAATGTTTGCTTCATAATAACTGAACCATAAAAGAGATCAAATGTTTTCGTTTCAAATATTCACTTTTTGTTTCGTAGCAATCGTTTGAAAATCTGTTAAATTCGACTTAAAAAGCTTGTCTTGAATGTCAAAAGATTTTAGTTCGGTAATTAAAAGTTTCTTTTCTGAAAAATTCCTGATGTTATCTCCAAATGTTATCTTTACATTAGCATAAATAATTTAAATACGCTATTTATGTTTGCTATGTTAAGTAACTTTGACTTAGAAAGCTTTAGGAAATTATTTTGTGTGGAAATTGATTTCACTTCAATTTCTATGAAGGCTCATAAATAATGTTGATTCCAACATGTGACAGAAGATTTTCTCCGCATCGAAGCTATCAGACGACGCCATATGTCTTCAACATCCCATAAACTAATTCGTTATTAAACTTCATGTTGTGTTCTTATGTTGGAAAAATTTCCAGATGGGTTTTTCTATTTTTGTTCTGAGTCGTGATTGAACCGATTCACAAAAAAGCTAAGCAAATATTTTTCTTCATAAATCGCTTGTAAAGTTATGTCGCAAAGTAAGAGCAAAATCTCATGATAATCTCAACTATTAAGCTAAGAAATAATTCATGAAGCTTTGCATGTGACAATATAATTCCATGTGGTTAAAGCTGTGCTTGAAACTCAAAGACTTTGAAGATAAACGACAAAATATTCAGGTAAGCGGTTGTTTCTTTATAATGAAGATTGTAACTTTCTTACTTCTTATTCTTTGTAAACAGATAAAAAGGAGTAAGAAAAGTTTGTTGTTGTGTTTGAGTTAATTAACAATATGCATAGTTTCATTGATTAATTAACTTTAATTTTGTAACAGAGAACAGACTGTAACCGCAGTAGCCATAAAGTCAAAAGTTTATTGAAAATCATGTTTAATAATTGCAGGATAAACGAGGGATATGATTACACTATAGTCATTAAATTTCATAGTTTATCTTGTTTGTTCTTTGATCTGACTCACGTACCTGTGTGCTTAATAGAATAGCTCGAGCAATGTCGAAGATTTTCTTTCCCATCCCTTCATTCGGTCCATATAAGACAATCAAATAAGTCAAACCAAAGAGTGGAATAAGTACTAAAAGAGCTTTTGAAGCTTTCCTATATTGCTTCGTTTCAGCTGTATTTGCTGACCTCAGCTTTGTGATGAGCACCTGGGAAATAAAAATAAGGAAATGAATTGGAAATAAAATTTTATATGCTTTAGGCAGTTAATAAATTATCAACAACTTACCCACATTATACTAAACAAGAAAATCAAATTTATAATTAAAACTAAACACGCCGGCCCTTTAAATATCCAATCAACGCTCGATTCCTGCATGTACGGACATCCATACTGAAACTTTATAAATTTAAAAGTCGATTAAATAAAGTCATAAAAGATTGAGCATTATTTTATCAAAGATTTTCTTCTTACTTGATGTGAAGCTTCGTGCAACCCTTCTCGTTCCGACACAATAATTTTCACTGTAGACCAACTCAAAGCACAAATCGCTGGAACACCTTCAGTGATGTAAAAATAAAGTAAGAAGAAAAACAATAAATTAAAAGAAAAAGCATAACAACATTGTAATCGGCTGGTTGGAGTAAAACAACAATAAGATCATAAACTCGATAAAAAGCTTTTGCCACGTGCTTTAAATAATGTATGTTTGTAAGGCAAGTGGTGAAAATTAATGGTTGTTGAAGTTGTTACATTTGATATGTGGTTATACAGCGTGAAGATGAGATGTCGAAAATTAAAACACATTTGTTTGGAATGTTCATACATTATGTGAGAAACAAAACAAATTCAACCATCATAAAACTGTCGGAAACATGAGTTTGATTACAAAGTAATTTTATTACTTTGAGAACACAACCAGAATATTAGAAAGCTTCCTTTTAAATGAGCTTATCTAATTAAATTTCAGATTCCTTCAACGGTCATCTTTCGTCTCTCATTTATAAATATTGAAATAGGTTCGACTTTCTTTCTTGAAACTTCAAAGATATTTTATTAATCATCATCATCATCATCATCTTTCGGTAATGCCCTAAGAATCACAAGGAATATTCAAGGAAACCAAAATAATAAACGAGAAAGTCGAGAGGCTGCTTGGAAGCTTTCACAATATGAAAAGAAATTAAAGTAAATTCATTTATTATTAAGAAAGTCCCTCCAAGCATGGAAAAGGTTGACATTCCAAATGCATTACGTTGTAAGATTAAAGTAGATTTGTGATTAGTGTAAGGTAAATTAAATTAAAATGACTGTTGTCACAATAAATCTATTTTCCTAATGATGCTATCATGAATTTGTTTACCCGCAATTTACGAATGAAATTTATGAACTTTTCAAATTGAAAGCGAAATAGAAAATAAGCCTGAATGGATAATATGCTTACCGTAGCCTATGACAGCATAAATTACAAACTTATTGATTACTTCAATACGTGAGAACGTTTCCACAACCAGAAGGTAGAGATACAATCCTATTAAGGAAATATATTAGCTTGTTGCAAACTCATCTTCAAAATTCATACATAAGCACGTAAATAATATTCAATTGTTTACCTTCGACCATCATCCAGAAGAAATTTGTTAAATTAAAGAAATGTAGAAGCGTCAGGAGCACCATGCACTCGATAAGACCCGCTGACGAGGACATCTAGGAAAATAAAAGTAATGTAATGCTTTCTGATTGAATTCTCTCTCTCTACTGCTATTTTTTTTTGCTGTAGGCAGCAAAATCTAAATCACTCACTTGAAATGATAGTGTCATCAACCATAACAAAGCAGAAAAGATGTACGTGAAAAAAAGATTACAATGAATTGTGTTACGCAAACAGCGAAGCTCTCTGAAACGAGAAACGGTGAAAGAATTTGTCGTAAATGAATTTTTTATGACTAAATTTATGTCGTGAATACGAGAAAATTTGGAAAGACATGAAGAAAGGTACTTGTGGTTTTGTGAAAAGGGTTTGGTTTGTAGAATTTAAATCATTTGTTGTTGTGAACACGATAATTTTTTTATTATCAAACAGATATTTATATCGTACTCCATTAAGGGTGGTAAAAGAAAGCTACTAAAGATACGAAAAAGGAATTTTTTTTCAACATCTTGCATATTTTGTTGACAAGATGATCAAGAGCTCAAAAGGAAATTTCATGACAGGAAGGAAAAGTTTGTCATAATAATTTATTTATGGCTAAAGTCTTCCTTCTTTCAATTTCCCTCAATAGAAATTCAGCTGCGGAAATTGAAGAAACAAGAAAAAGTTTAATGAAAATATTGGAGAATTAAAATGTTGGCTTGCATCCAACGAGAAGACGCAAAGCTTTCATGTCATATCATAAATGTATGTTTATGTTTGTAAAACAAATTTATGCTTTCGCGTGAAACATGCAATGTAAACATAAAAAGAGATTTGCACGCATCAACAACTTACTTGAAATGAAGGAAAATTATCACAGCTAACGACAAAGCAACGATACTAATCGAGTAACCGATACAGTAAAAAAACGTGTTGTATTCAACGTCAAATGCTATCGATGAGGTCGATGACGTGTTGATGCAAAGATCGTAATACGATTTATCCCAAGTTCCATCTTCTCGACAAAACTTTGTTGCATTCTCTGTAAATAATAATAAGAATATTTATTTACTATGAGAAAAGAGAAATCAAGTCAAGCTGCTTAAATTTTATGGTTTGAATGAGAGGATAAAAACACTTTTAGTCTGAAGTGTTTTTTCGATTACTGACAGATTCAACATACTTAACAGTTGTTGACCATGACTTGACATTCAAGTATCAACTGAACCTAGGTACACAACCTTTCAAACTAAGCCCTTCAGTCATTCTTTTTTCCTGACGAAATGTTATAGAAACCGAAAAGTTTGAATCAAACCTTAAACATTTTTGTCTTTCTAACCTTTTACAAATATTTCCACAGTCGTTGTATTATTCCACAAAAAAAAATGGAAATGAAAAAGAAGCATTTTACAAAAGAGCGGAATTAATTAAAAACTTTTTCACTTGCTGAAGTTCCGGGGCTTTCAACAGTTCATTTTGTGTTGGTAATATTTTAAAATCATCGTCATCCCTTTTAAACATTTCATAGAAACGAGAGGTTACTTCAAATCTTATCACCTTTTATCTCTTTTTCTGCTATTTTTGGCTTGCCATCAAAACACTCATCAACACTTTTGTTTCATAAAATATTTTCATCAATTTAAATTAAATTCATTCACTTTGAAGAATTGTTGAGTTAACGATTTTATTTTGTACTTTAGAGATGTCTAACGATTCAATTATTTCATAAAATTCAGCACACATTTTATTGTGAGGATTTGTATGTATGTAGTAACATATAATCAACTCAACTGGCAACCATATCCTTCAACAAAGGACAATAAAAATGATGGAGAGCTTACAACAAATCACAAATGAAAAAGCACTCTAGGGATATAATTTCCAGTCTCTTTTTCATATAGCAATAACACAGTAAGTGCTTTTCAAAAACAACCATTCAATGTAAGCGATTTCATCTTAACTTCCTTTATTTATTTTTACATGATGAACCCACAAGTTTAGAAATTTTGATTTAAAAAGCGAGAGTGTCAAAGCCATTTAAGCGAAGCCAAGCTACCGACATTTATCTGAGGTTATGAAGTTCATGAACGTCAAAGGAAATGAAAACAAAAGTGAAAGTCAAGGAAAAACATTTCCTGATGCTTTTAAAGATGGAATTCTTGAGTAAGCGGTTTTCTTTTCCACATAAGTTGCTAACTTAATGAAGGAATAATTCCGAATTGCAAAAGAAGATAAAAGTTTCCTTTACGAGCATCTTCCGTTCTTGGGAAAAATAGCAAAGCAGAATTGAATCGTTGGAAAGCATAAGCGGGTTTCCTTTACCATATGTGTGTGTGTGCGTATTGTATTATTATTTAATGCTTCTTACTTTTCATGTTATTGTGTGAAAAAATGTCGAAGCACAAAAATGTTAGGAAATCGTATGAGTTCATTTTTTTCTGTCTATTGTAGGATGAACTGAAGATATTTATGTAAATATTTAAACACGAATAAGATTTCAATATGAAAGAATGGTGAATAGTGAATGGAAATATATATCCGCGTGTAATCTTATTTTCCGTATTTACATTGTCAAATAGAAAACGTGATTGTTTAGTGAAAATTCTTACCTTCTAGACTGTCATAGAGAACGCCATTCCACTCTCTGAAGCAGGGTTGAATTGCCAATGAGTTGAACTTTGTAGGTGGCCAGCAAAGAATTTTGTCATAGGTCGGAAGACAACCGGAAAAATTTGTCTAACGTTAAATTAAAAGAACTTTATCGATAACAAATTAATTCCTATCTAAGATGATCAAATTACCAAAGCATCCAGATGTTCATGTAGACACAACAATTGGTTTAGGTCTGTGTTGTTGCCATGGAGAGTTTGATTGAGATCAATGCCGAAGAATTGATCTCCGATGGGAGAATTTTCATTACTAATTTGGGAAGCCACTATGCTAAAGTTTCAAACAGTTTTCACTTGTAAATTGTAAGCATTTCGAATAGAGCTTTAAAAGTGATTCATTGAGCTTAGTATCGATTCTGGAAAAAAAGGGAAATATTTTATTAGAATATCAACTCAATGAAGTGTATAAAAACTGATGAAAATAGTTTGCATGTTTGCTTTTCGGAATAATAATTCAAATTTTCCAATTTTATTTGCAGTATGATATCTGAAAGGTTATTATAAAAAGCAAATTATGCATCCCAGTTCGTCAAACTACATAAAACAGTAGTCAAGCAGACTGCGTCTATGGAATTTAATCTATATCCGAAATTTTTGAAATTGTTGGCTGCCAAAACATCATTCCACTCGAGAAAGAATTTACAATGTGGCGGAAACATGCGTCGTTTGTCGTAAACTTTTTGATTAATTTTATTTTCAACTCAAACCACATTTGATATGAAAATTTAAATTCATATTGAAAATCTCTCCCTTGAAACATTTTTCCACATCAAATAATCGCGAGGTCTAAACTAAAGGAGGAAGTGATGATTGCTGAGTAATTTTCTCGGATCAAACACTTATTGTTTCAATTTCACAAGTTTCTTGACAAAAATCTTCAATTATCTTCTAATCGCTTTGAGATTTTGCGACATTATATCTTGATAATCAATCTTCGATTTTCCTCCTCACTTCAACATAATCAATTCATTTTAAATTATTTAATGGCTCGTGATTGGAATTCACGAATTTCTCTCGACGTGAGTAAAGTGCCAAACATTTAGATTTTATTGCGTGTCGCTTTCAATCCTACTCAGATCATTTCTTCACCTTAAAATAATCAAATTGAGCAAGTAAATAAACAGGAAAGAGCTTTTTCTTCGTATAACTGTAATCTCTATGGATTTCATCCAAAACAAACATTCTCAATCACAGTTCAATCTGAAAAAATCTGAAATTGTTTTCATTTAAGTAGAAAAAGGGCGACCCATGAGAATGAAATCATCACGAGACAAATTTTTCTTTTTCTTTCCTCACTCACTGTTGCTTTACTCAACGATTATTTATAAATTTTGTACATAAATGGATAAACAAGATATAAATCGAATACATAGAAAATTATGATTAACTCAAGAGAGTTCAAAACCATGACGAAAACCATTTCAATAAATCGATTACAAAGAGATTTAACATTTTGGCTTCGACCATTAATTATCGCTTCAGATCAATCAAAAATTTATTCATGGATTCAAAATGCAAATGGTTTCAATGAATTAAATTGGAATTAAATTTACAAATATCCATGTCCATATTCAGTTTCATGGAAATGAATTTAGAATTTCTAACTCTTCTCAATATTTAAAAACAAATCAATCAGAAAGAAAATACTCGGAAAATTTATACAAACACCTTGCCTTGAAACAATTGTTAGTTATCTTTCAAATGAAACTCATTTAGATATCTCTGATTACAGAAGAATCAACACGTAATAGTAAATTATTCAACTTCAATTGCACAATGTGAATGACAGAAGAAAGTAGAAAATTTGTTTTTTTTCTTTTAATGTTGAAGGAAATTTCTTTCGCTTCACTTCAACAAATATTGTTCTATTAATCATCGTTAGTACTTCTAATGAACCCAGGTGAGGCGTAAAATTTTAATTATTGTTAATTAAAATGCTTTGCATGAAAAATTACTTTCTTTGTCTTCTATGAACTTTTATAAGATTTTATTGTTCATCTAAAGTTGCACAAATAAAAATAATTTCCATTATCTGTTCTTTCTTTATGTCAAAACATGCCAGTCATCCAAAAGCAAGACAAGATTAAAGCCTCCAAGCGGAAATTAATTTTAGATGAGCCATTTTTCTTGTTGTTCACATTATTTCGCTGAATGTTTTATCCCTTTTTTTCCAGTTCAACTTTGTTAAATAGAATAGAACGATAGAATGCATGAAACTATCAGATGACCCATAAACAAAAGAGATGAAAGGATTCATTCAATGGCGATGATAAACAAAGAAGCAAACTGTATTTAGCACATCGTTATATTGTGTTTATTATTTCTCCTCGAAGCTTTTTTATTGATCGTACAATGAATAAGAATATGAAAACAGTAACGCGTTGATAAATTGTCTCTTTGCACACTAATGACGGGTACTTTGGGTGCTTTCTGCCATCCTGACCGACATTTATGACTGTAATTAATATTTTTTCTGATGTCTAATTTCAACCTTCATCCACGTTCTTCTGTAATCATTACAACCACTCTAATAACTTGTGGTGACAAAAACAAATGAGATAATTGTTTCTCAACTCACGACCCTAGTTATGCTCAATTTAAAAACCCTTCTTAGAGATAAGAAAACATCTTGAGAAGAATTTGAAAGACTTTATTGTTCAATGTTGTCATCAAATTTTAAGGATCAAGTGAATGAAACAGAAAACGTTGTTTCATATTTTGGCTTCTTACGTTACGCCCTTGAAAATATTTTTGGGATTCTTCTTATCTCAACAATTTTTAATGTTAGAGAATTAAACGTACAAAGCCATTTCGAATGAACTTTTCAACCATGATTTACAATCATCTAAGATGGTCTCGAGGCATGATGAAAATTTGCTATGGCAATTTAAGAAATTGTTATTTTGAGACTTCTTGTGAAAGAAAGTTTCATAAAATATTTGACGACTTTCTCTAAATGGAATGACTGATCCTTTGGCTTCAAGTAATATTTTTATCAGCTTTCACAAAGTTTAAAAACTTTTCACATAAATTTGTTTTAATCATTTCATAACACTCCGATTACTTTTGATTTTGAATTTAAATATTCTTGTTTATATTGTTTATCATTTTAATAAATTTTTTATCTTCGATTTATTGATGGAAATTTCAGATTTTTTATTCATTAATTTTCACACATTTGCATCAACACCTTAGATTTTTTATAGTTTGCATAACATTTAAATTAAATGTCGAAAACCACACATGCAATTTGATAATTTATTATCTGACAATAAAATTGATGGTTTTTAAATTAGCAAAACAAATTTAAAAGAAATTTAAACGCGCGAACATTAAAAGCGTTTTTACTAAATATTTTGACTAATCTCCTGAATAATTCACACTTTTAATGTTTTGTGCACTACAACATGACAAATCTTTTTAATAAACTCAGAAATGTCACTAGAATTTTTATTACTTTTAATCACAATGTTAGTTATTTTTTATCTCCATGTGCTTGGTGAAATATTTATGTATATGAGCTTAATTACCAAATCTATAAATAAACTCTAAACTTTTGAAATTAAATATCTTCACAAGAATATTTTCCCAACGACTCTAATCTCATTGAACGCCAGCGAAGAACTGTAAAATATTTTATTTTGGTTAAAATGTGCATCAACGATAAGATACTGAAATGAAAACCAAAACTGTGAGAGGTTTTTAGAGTAGCGAAGAAGGAAAAAGGAAAAGCGAAAAACATCAGACGGAATGAGAGAACAAAGCAGATTTACAGAACAGCATGACTGGAAAATGGGAAAATTTTCTTGTAATTCCATTTCGGTTTTCCCATGGTTTTCCTTACGGTTCTTACGCTCAGCCGGAGAGTAAGTCAACAACTTGTTGTTGAGAGTAGTGAGAGAAAATTTAGTGTTACCTGATGAGAGAACTTTTTCTTAGATTCTTCAAGAGATTCTTATGCCAGGGCCACAAGTTCAAACTGTGAAGTGTGATAAAAATTGTGGGGAAAAATGTGTTTTAAATTTCAACGACTTTTTTATTTCTGATATCTTCTAAATATTCATAAACATAAATCTATCTTTCAGCTATGTGATCACGTTATTAAGAACATCACATCAATTTATAAACTGAGAGAAGGAAGAATTAATAAAACTTTCCACTAAAGAACATTATAAGGCGAATGTGTTGAATATTTACGGGTTTTACTCGGAATTTATTCTGTGTTATGGTGACATCTTTTTATATTTTTTAAAGTCATCATGAGAATCTTGTATAAATTCGTCGAGATCTGTCAGTGCTTTGTAGACACCAACAGCGTATGAATGAATAATTTATTTAAGTGATAACGCATTGAAAGAAAGAACCATGTCATCATCATCCGAAATAAACCTAACGATTTTATAAAGGTCGTCGTTGTACTGCTGAGAGTCACATAATGGTTGAAGATATTGCACTGCTTTAAGACATTTACTCTTCTCTCTATTGACAAGAATGAGGCAACAACTTTAAATTAAAATAAATGACTTGAACTTGTTTACAACGAAAGTAAGTAATGAAATTATGTGTTTCACCGTTAAATTTAGACTACTGTATGTACATATGTAATAAATCAAAATATCTCATAAGTGGAACATTTAAACTGATTATAAAATTGACATCGACCTCATACAAAATTTGAATAATGAACGATTGTTCGGTCATCAACCCACCATTTGTTTAAATTTAAAAATAAAAAGCTTTGTATAAGCTTCACATTAAGCTTATTAGGAAGTTAAATGGAAATTGATTATCTCGTTTCATGCTATTATTTTTACATAAAATTCAACTTAGCATTTTTCCTGTCTTTTACGTGTATCGTTCTTTATTTTCAGAAATCTAATTTTGTTGTGAAAACAAATCTTTAGACATCCATTTCTATTTCGAAATATGTCAGAAAACTTAAAACATTCCATTTGCTACTTTTTTTCTGAATCACTCGTTTGGATAATCTCAAATCAGTAACTTTTAGAAATAAATCTTTCGTATATTGAGTAGAAGATCAGAGGATTTGTGTGTTTATTCAAACGATTAATTTTCTAATGCTGAACTAAACCTTGAATATCAATGGAATTAAACACCGAAATCTAGATTATGAAACATAATTTTTAAAGTAGAAAAAACTCATCTCAAGATGAGACATCTAAGCACTTTTGGCAAGATGAGAAAACAGTTGGATTAAAATACTTAGGTAGACAAATAATACATTAGAACTTTTCATCACAGCTAAAAAAATTTATCCAAAACGTCAGCAAAAGCTCCCTTGCTGTGTCTTTGATTGTTTGTACTATGACGTGCCTGAAACGATGTTGGAGAGGATTTTATGATGATTAACTGTCTTCCCTTCCATTTATACATTTTTTGTCTTTCTCGGTATGTTTCATTAGTTTTTGTTATGATACCTCCTCTGGTTATCTGTTTACAGCTAACAAATGTTGGAGATTAAAAACGAATCTGAACGTGATTAGAAAGCTTAATAGCAGTCATTATTTGATTTGTCTGCTGATTTGAAATTCTTATCGTTATGATGTTTATTTCATTACAAATCGGCAGTAACATAATATTTAAGATTATGTTGTTCTTTTATCGAAATAATCGAGAATTTGACTCATTGAAATAAAATCTCATTTCATTTTTATTTTTCACGCAACTTTGTATCAAATTCTTTCGAAATTTATTTTTAATTTAAATTTTTTTCAACTCCTATACTGTAAAAGTTTCCATTGAGAAACAAATCTGAAAATAAAAAGTTATTTTGTTTCAAGCTTTTTCATATCATAACTTTAGAATCAAATCAAAGTTTTATGACATGGGAAGCTTTCTGCTTAAACATCAAGAACATTCTACTTCGATTGACTTGTACGAAAGCTCTCATTTTGAAAAAGGATTCTGAATCTTATCTCTAAATTCGTAGTCTCAATCATATAAAGTGAAATTGAGGAAATAAATTTTCCAAGCAATATTTCGTTATGTGTTAAATTTCATATTTGTTTAAGTTTTCGATTTCCTTAAAGATTAGAAAAATATTTCTTTGATATCTATTCTTTGATAAATATTTTCCTCTTCTTGAAGCATCAAAGTGACAGATTCAACAAAACATATCTCAGGGATTATTCTCGTAACTCTTATCTTCTACCCGAAAGCCCACAGCTGCAACTTTTTCTTTTTTGTCCCGATTTCATTCATCCCATGATACTCTTTTTTATATCATTATGTGATTCCAATTCCGGTTATTTTTCTTCCGATATACTAAAGAGTGAAAGATAAGATACATCAAAGTGACATACCATGTCCCATAAACTTATTTTTTCTGTTATGTTTTTTGATCCTTATTTGGCATTTGACGCATACTGACATTGAATTTTTCAGAATAACGTTAAGTAAGTTTTTAAGGAACGACATGTGGAACTAAAAAGAAATATTTCATTTGTTGGGAACACAAACTGTGACGTGGCTAGTAAACGAGAAATACGTCAGTCTGCTATTTCATGCTGCCACTTTCGATGCTCTTAAAAATCGTTTATTCATGATGGCTATGAATTTTATGAGACATTTTTTCAAAGGATGGCACATCGTAAATTTTCCCAATCCAACACTCATTTCGATTCCATTAGCATTCTCTTCATAAATTCTATTTAAAGTGTCTCGTTAAAAACAACCATAGGCAGATCCTCGTCTCACCCTGTTCAGCTTATTTTAGCCACATAAATTTTAAACTCGTATAACAGCTCGAAAGAAAACTTTCTTCTTGACATTTTTTCCTTAGAATGAAAGCGAGTAATCCGCTGTCTACAGCAATAATTGGAAATAATTCTTTTTATACTCAATGATACTCTTTCTTCCAACTATGAATGAATGAATGAACGCTTGAATGAAAATAGCGATATAAATAATAAAATCTAATTGAATCAAACAAGCAAATCACAGAGATTGAAATTGTGGCTGAACTTTGGGAATGTTTAGTAAACTTTGACATGTTACAAAACTGACGTGAAATTTAAAATCAAATTGACGTTTATCAAAGTGTACAATAAATTCAAGAGTCATCATTCTTCGAAGCTTTAAGTAATGTCGAAGGATGGAAATGATATTTCTCGGGTTGATAACTTTTCAAATTGACTCATTAAATATTTATTTAGAATTTGTATCAACTTTGGAAATGTGGCTAGGAAAATTTTCTTTTTCTCTTTTCTTTTGGGAGTTTGAATCAAACATTGAAACTTTTCAATTAAAGTTCTTTTTCTTTACAATCTTTCTGTCAACTTCAATTGTATATCTTGAGGGTTTCAAAAAATTTCTCATTTTTTTCCGTTGATTTAATTTCATAAACATTGTGATTGGAGAGAAGTAAGGAAGAAAAATGAAAAGTTTTGTGTTTCATGAATCATGATGAAGAAAAAGAAAGTAAAATAAAAAATTGGTTTTAAAATAATTTACAAAAACAAATTTGTCTGTGATTAAGAAGACAACAAAAGTCGTTCTTCTTTGCTCCAGATATGAAATATAAATTGATTTGTGGCTATTTGAGTTGCATCGTAGTATTCACAATTTGTTAACAAAACGAAGCTTAAAGAACCATCGTTTCCCTTTTTTCCATTCAAATGTCATGTAAAACGGTGAGCAGAGTGCTGAGAGATCTTGGAAATCAACGGGAGCAGGAAAACGAGAGCAAACATCGTCGTGTTTATGCTTCGGATGGATTCTACACGACATTTCTTTTAATATGAAATCTTTTTTCTTCTCTGGCTGCACTCTGGCAGTTGTGTGAGAACTTTTAGACGAATCAGAAGAGAATCTGTAAGACGCAATGGAAATTTTTCATTAATTTACGTGTAATCAAATTAAAAACGAGTTCAAATCAAATCAAATAGATCATGAAAATATTGTTTTGCTTTATCTTGCTAGGTAAGTTTTCCATCAATAAAAATGACGATTTGTTTTTATTAAATAAAAGTTCACTTGAGAAATGATCAGTCGTAGTGAAGTTTTTGCTGGAAAAATGGATGTTGAACATACGAATAAATATTATTTTTGACGGCACCTACGATCTTTTGTTTAAATTGTAAACATTTTCTAATCTTCTCCTTACAGTGTTGTTTATACAGTCGGTGTTTTGTGAGAAGCTTCCTGCCACGTGCGGTCAAACAAACTGTCCCCACTACCATCGACCCGTTTGCGCAACAAATGGCAGAATTAGAAGGACGTTTCATAACCAGTGCGCTGTGAGAACATTTAATGAATGTTCGAGCGACGAGAGTGAGTGACGAGCTTTCAATTTATTTTGACTTATGTATGACTCAATTTCCTTTCACTTTATCTACGCTTCTTTTTTAGAATACAACATCATACGAAAGGGGCAGTGCTAGAATGGCATTTATACTTAATTCAGGACAAAACAATTTTCGACTGTTAGCAGACATAATGCGCAAACTTTTTAAATAAATGTCGAAGTTACCTAATTAACCAACACCATATCATGACTGCTTATCAATTCTTTAAACTCGCTTGTATTTAAATATCAAATATTGTATAATAAACTTCTTATATATCACGCACATTATTGCATAGTAAGCTTCGTGGTTTGTTATTCAATTCCATTCGAACATTCTTCTTGTTGACAACGCAACGACATGATTTTGGTTTATTGAAACATGAGATGATTGAAACATAAACAAACATCATAAAAAGTGTTTTTGACTCATCTTCAGATCTTTTCATTAGAAGGAGTTCGTTCAGTTTCAATAACAAAAAAATTTAAACTTTATGGCCAATCTTCCAAATTAAACTTTATGGGAGTTTCAGAGAAGACTTTAATGAATAAAAATTGCGTGTGGTTTGCAGATACTTTATACTATTATTTCACTATAGAATGTTACACGTGAATGCTATAAATTGAATTGAATGTCCCTATTAACGTTTTTTAAGTCATTTTGCGGTGGTCAATAATAGAAAGGATAAACTAAACCCCGACAGAAAATCACTTTAGAAATACCGCAATGGATTCGTTTGCTTTCTCGGTTGTAAATAAATTCCTTGGCCTTTTAGATGTAACTATGTAAAAGGAACCTAATAGAAAAGGTAATTTAGATTCAACTGTGCTCCATTTTAACCAAAAAATCTCGTTCTAGAATATTCTTTTTCAAACCTTTTTCTCTTATTTGTGGTCCCACGTCTCTCTTCGACGATGTTGTGATGAAAATAGAATGAAACATTTCTGTCCTTTTTTTTCTCGGATTGGTGATTAAAAGCAAGGCGAGAATCGATAAACAACATTTTTAGGAAAACTAATGTTTGTGGCTATTTGAGATTAAATCGAAAATTGTCATGGAAGCAAAGAAGCAGCAAGCAGGCACTTCTTCATTATCTGGACGTTGTTGGGATGAACATTTTACGGTTATATATTCATTTATTTACTTTGAAAGCCTCGAAGGGTCTTAGCAATGGCAAAGTTCATTATCCTATTCAAATACTTTGACTTGAAGTTATTTTTATAATAAACGATTTCGTTGCTAAGTAGAACGACAACGAATTGAACATAAATGGCGATTACAATTTTTTCTTGCTGAAATTTCATACTTTTGTGATGCTTCAACATTCACCTTGACGTTCGTTGTCGAAAAGTTTTTTGCTTGGAGATTGGAATTTTAAAGCTCCTGAAAATTGGTAGCATATTAGACAGAAAATATTCAAAATCTTTGGCTTTCGAAGCTATTTGCTTACGATGACATTGTGAACCTAACCAAAGATGAGTTTCATTTAAAAATGTGTCATGTTTTCCTGACATTTGCAGCTGTTTCATTTCATTTATCTACAAAGTCACCCTTCTGTTGGTTTCCTTGAATACATTGAAGCATCGTTGGCAACTTGAAACATGAGAAGAGTTTAATTTAAAATTAAAAATCACATTTTGATGAAAAAGAGCGCAGGTGATCATTGTTTTTGCTTCTGCTTATTTAAATATTTTATGCAAAAGTATTTTTCAAAGTTGTAGAAAGCTGAATGACTTGCTGAATGATATGTTGTGTCTTATGTGCTTTAGTCACTTGTCTAGATATGTTTATGAGATTATATCTTCATCATTCTCCGGTTTTAATCAAAGATTGCTTTGCGATTTTATTGTGCATGAGTCTTCATGGATGTAAAATATTTCACAGGTCAGCTACCTGATGTTTACCTCAATCTAGATGTTTAAGACAGCGACATACTCGGTAGATAACATTCTTCATTGTTATCAGATTCCATTCCATACCTTTAATATATAATTAACAGAAGTAGTTTAATAATGTTCCAGCTTTCGTTGCAAACTTTGTTCGTTGACTAACAAACAGAGAAAGTTTCTTGATATAAACCAACAAACAATTCAAGAACTTTTTTCTCTCAAACTGATTTTATTTATTTATTCATCGCTTCGTTAGATTCGTACAACAATGTGACACTGAAGTTACATCCTGTTAATATAAACGGAATTTTCCAAAGAGACATTGTAGAATATTTTTTAAAAAAAGTTTTATAGATTTTATGTTCGATAACATTAACACCAAAATATACTTCATGATAGATATTTTCATTGACCTTTTTAAAAATCCTATTAAATGGCACACGTAAATTATTTTAAAGTTGTACTTTTCCAAGATTTATCATTAAATTTTTTGCTTGAAAATCTTTCTAAATTGGTATTTGGAAACTTTAAAAGTATCTTGAAAATATTTTAAAGAAAAACTTCTTTTCTATGTTGTTTGATATTGAAAAGTTTTCCATCTTCTTTTTTAAATTCACGAGAATTTTTCTATGCATTGAAAGCCATATCACCTCCATCAACTTCATTTCATCAGCTCCCAAGTGTGCTTCCATCAGAATTTTCTACTCGAGTTCATCCAAGTTGTAGAACGACTAGAAGTTGCGATGAAACCAATCATGGCGATAACGAGAATTTCAAATGTTTTATTTATCAGAATTTATATCGTTTTTCCATTGTTCATCAAATCTCACAATTCTGTCATTTTGACAATGACGGTATACTCTTGGGTTGTCCTGGAATACAAAATATTTTCAATGTTTATATCATTTTAGCATTTTGAATATGCTCGAATGCTTCATTTGTGTTTCTATTTTGCAATTTAAATATTTTGTGTGCTTCTTAACTTTCATAAATGTTTGTTCAACATTAGCTGAAAGGAATGAAATAGCAAAATAACAAAAATTGTAAACAAAAAATGGCATGCAACCTTTGCTGCCTTTGGCAATCCTCTAAGGAAAGGGAATTTATCTCCAATTCATTTTCATTGCTGTTGTGTATCTAACTTATTCTCTTGCTGGAACCTTTGAGAATAACAGAAGAAAAAACATTGTCCCAAGAAATATTTCTGTCGTAATTTAACAAGTGATCGGTGAACTTTTCTGTTAAAGCTCCCGAAGGAATTCAAATCCCTTCATGACTTTAAGCTTATTTTATGTCGTGCATTTAATATTTATTACCAAACAAACACACGCCGATGGGGAAATGGGACATCACGATGATATTTGTCACACGTACGTTGATAAGATGAATGTTTCAAATGAATAAACATTTCAATACGCTGCGAAACTCACGGACATTAATTTAAAAGTTCAAAAAGCTTTCATTACGGGAACAACAACAGAAAATCGATGCTGCAATTTCATGTTCATTTATATATTTCGTTATGCTTGAAATTCAAAAGTCTGAAATCAAAAATTCTCTGAATGAATAATTCGTTCAGGGATGTGATTAACAATCATGCCAAAAATTGATTAAATAATGAATAACCTTGTGTTGTGCTTAAACGTGTAGAATAAAAATTGTTCAACTACCTATGCAAAGATCTATTCCATCCGAAAAATGATTCAAGTTCTACCATTCTACTTCTACTCACTACCGGAACTCTAAATTGAATTAAATTGAAAAGGGGGAAGGGGAAAAGAATTTGTAACTTTTATAAAAATTTCTCACTTACATTTTCAAGTAATAATCAGAGTAAATCTTTAACTTTACTTTTATTAAATATAACATCAATGATCGAATAAAAACTTAAGTAATAATTTGTTTACGATGTAATAGGAAGAGTTGAAGTTAAGCTAAAATCATAAAGAAAGAAAATAATGAATAAATTAAGCATAAGAAAATTTCTATGTTAAAAAGTTTCAAAACAAAGTAGAAAGAAGAAACATTAAGGAAATCCACTTACCGTATACTCTCCGTTCTCGATCTTGGCGAATAATCTTTCGACATTGTGTAACGACGACTTCGAATAGAATTGCCTGAACTTAAGTTTCGTGAATCCCTCCAGCGATTAAGACGATGCTTTAGTGCTTGTCGCACCTCAGAGTTGTTAAAGCAGTAAATACATACGACAGAAAATCCTTGAATGCTTATAAGAAATGCTCGTAAAATAGCAAAAATATGACTTTCGAGTCCTTCATTCGGCCCGGCAATAACAATTAAATAAGTAATTCCTAGAAGCGGTATAAGTACTAAGAGTGCTTTGGATGCTTTACGATATTGGCGTGTTTCAATGGTGTTTGCTGATCGTAGTTTTGTAATTAGTACCTCCAAGTTATTGAAAAAGTTAAAAGAAAACAAACATAAAATTAAAATGATAAGAAAAGAGAGAAAAAAGTTTAATAATTACTCATAATGACACCACAAACTGTAATAACTCACCCACATAATACAAAGGAGAAAAACTAAATTTATGATAAGTACAACGCAAGCTGGCACGTGGATAATCCAATCGATGTTCGATTCACGCATCCACGAGCATTCAAGTTCTAATTGATTCTCATCATCACTGGAAAAGGCTTTAAAAACCGTCCAAAATCCGACGAAAATGCTTGGAAAACCTGTAATGAATAATAATTTTATTAAGAAAGAAGTTTAACAAAACAAAGTCGCATTGTCTCAAAATTTCTTCTTGGAATTTAATTACGAAATTTTATAAGCCGATGGCATTAATCCAAACTTTATTGAAGTTTCGTTAGGCATGGTGTTTAATCTCCAGAGATTTCGATTTACGCTAGAAGAATTTTCATGGTGAAATTCAACGTTGAATATTTTATTTTATTTTGCATACATCAGCCAAGGAAAGTTTGTTTAAAATTCTTGTTGTTTAATTTATTCGCTTTCGAAAATATTATTTACTGCTTTTATTTAATAAGGAAAAGAAGTGTGAAGTGAGATGACCTTTGAGTGATTCACATGGTCTCAGAATACCAAAAGTTTAACACAATATCAACGTTCATAACTTCACATCAGTGCATTGAAGCTATCAAAACAAATATCATAATAACAAAAAAAAAATGTAACGACAATGGCTGGCATTAAAGGAAACATCATTTCAGTATTTTATTGCGAAAATACTGTACATTGGTGATACATAAAAATTTCATTAGGGTAAAGGTCGTGTTTAAGGAACTTTCATCAAAAATGATGCCTGCAAGTTGCGATAAAATTTATTTTTAAGTCATTTTCGAAGAGCTTTTCAGTTAAAGCTTCCCATAAATACTTTTTATTTTGAACTTATCCAAGCTTTTAAATATCAGAATTGAGTTTATTTATCTTCTAAAAACAATACAATTGGGTTTAAGCTTTTGAAAAGCTCGTCTTTATTTTTTCCTAAAATTATGTGTGGCATCTTGAGCATTTTATTTCTACATCAAGATTATTCTGTTTCTAAAGCGTCCCATAAGAATCGAGTTTAATGGAGGGAAATATTTAACGTAATCCCAGTTAACCTTCTTCACAATTTGAGAATAATTTTTGAAGAAATAGTGAATAATTTAACATACCCCATCCGATAACAGCGTAGAGATTAAACCTTATTTTATCGCCAGAAAATGTTTGCACAACAAGCATATAAAGATAAAGACCTGGAAAGATAAAATGTAAGAAGTCAAAACAAAATGAAAATTAAATCAAATTCTTTTTTGCGTTGTTTTGAAATCTCAAATTTTACGTAGGCGTAGATACTTTATGAAAAATATTTTTCTCTTCAATTATGTTTTTCCTTCTTTAAATTAGGCTTCAAAAAAATAAATTTTCACTAATTAATTCTTCGTGTTTTCGTAAATCTTGTTCACGTCAGGGAAATTCCTTAACACAAAATTCATTAGCATTTCGGTGAAGTTTTGACTCAGTTTTCTCGCCCTCTGTTTTTTTTTCTTGTTAATTAATAAATTTTTCGTGAACATAGAAGAAATTGTTTTAAATTAATGAAAAATTTGCTTCGTAAGGAAATTTGGGAAGCAAAAAAACGGAAATAAAATCGAAAGAATTGCTTTTGGTTTGAGAAGTGACTCACCTTCCACCATCATCCAAAAGAAATTCGTCAAGACAAAGTAATGAAGTAAAATTGCCAAAAATATGCAGCCGACTGTTCCAGGGCCCATGTACATCTTTTTTGTTCGTCATTGCGGAAGTTTAGAGAAAGATAACAAATGGTTCATTAATTTAAATGGAAAAACCTTATAATAATTTCATGTTTAAATTCTTCAACAATTCAACGTTTAAAGCGTCAATAATTTTACATTCCTTGGTTCGTTATGAAATCGAAGGAAGAAGAAATGGAAATAAAATTTCGTTCTGCTATTGTCATTTAAATAAATTGAAATTTAATATATCTTTATGTATGGATTTCTACTCGATAAACTTCCAATTTCAAATCTCATCGTTGAAAAGAAGATTATGAATTTATACCTTTTAATTGAATTGAGTTCTTTAGATGAGAGTTGAAGAAATCTCAAGCTTTTCTTTGAATTTTAAATCTTCTCCTTTCATGCTTCATTGATTTAAAAAAACAAATAAGACAACTTTTCATCACATAAAGCTCTTTGATTTTACCTGCAAAGTCAGCGTTAGAATCCATAAAAATATCGATAAAATGTAAGTTAAAAATAAATTTATGTGAATGGTGTTTCTCAAACATCGAAGATCCCTGAAATGAAAAAATATGAAATGAAAAGGAAGTGAAAGGCTTGTGTAAATGACATGTTTACAGAACCATCAAAATGAGATATAAAAATAAACTTCGACTTTGAAACTTTCCACATGAGTTTGCTTGTTGTATTTCAAGACGATCTAAAATTGAGCCATCCACCAGTTACTTTAAGAAGTACTAAAGTTTGCCATGAAATGACTTTAACCAAAAGACTCAGGCAATTCTTCCGCTTATGTGAGTTGCTTTAAGCTCTTTTAATCTACCAGTGAAGATTTTCTTCAACTCACATAATACAAAAGAGTGGAAGATTAAGAAATTTCACGTTCAACGAGGTTTAATAAGTCATTTTGGTGAAAAAGAGCTTTTCTCCTTTATGTTGAGCAATTAAAACAGAAAGCTTTAAATATTTCATTAATTTCTGAAGCTGGTAAGTTACAAGTTAAAGCTAATATTCAGAAGTAAATATTTAAATAATATTTTTGCTTTCAGTATGAGTCTTTTAAATGTAAACGACTTCAGCCGCCAATATAAACAAACGGAGAACAAATTAATTATGTCACACTTTTCATATTTTGTCTAAATGTTTAAACAAGACAACGATACTTACTTGAAATTCAGAAAAACGATAACAGCGAGAATGAGCGCAACAAGCGAGACCGAGTATCCGATATAGTAAATTATGCTCGTTGCATATGCTGAACATTGCAGATTAAAATCCAATTCATGACATGTCTTGTTGTTGGTATAAATATGATGACAATTTGCATAATTTGTTAAATCCCAAACTCCATTAATACTGCAATATCGTGTAGCGTTGTCTACGTCAAAAAAATAACAGATTTTTAATTAATTTTTATACAATCTCGACAATATGAATCGATAAAAAGTCATTTTGAATCATTTCAATAAAACAAGATTTTCAATATCGTGTTTGGTATTCATTTCCATATTTTTTATGTTTTTTATTCCATAATCGACTCATCATGTATGTAGCTTTTATGATGATATTAATGAAGCTTGAAAATCATTCAAACCAAAAAATTCTCAACAAATTATTTTTTGTTATTTTTTCTAAAATTTGTTCATTTGTTGGGAAAACTTTTTTTCATCTGTGCAAACGAATTTCCATCATTTCTGCCTTCTCTTTCATAGCCTAATTATTGTTATTGTTTAGAAGCATAAACATCTGTTATTATGTTGGTGATGCATGAAATTGCCCTTTCCTCTGAGTATTCCAAAATGAATTGATAAGAAAAAGAAAAACAAAAACTTTCGCTTTCATCGGGGAACTTCAAGTGCGTCTCCGAGTTGGAAAAGTATTCAAGTTCTTCTTACGAGTTAATAAAGAAAGAATCATAGAACATTCTTAAATATATTGACGACAGACAGAAGAAGATAATATCAATGTCATCATGTCATTAAAGAACTTTTGTCGATTGTCGTAAAATGTTTTTAATAATCGCATTAATTTTCCATCTGTCATGTGTTCATAAGAAGGAAATTGAACATGAAAATCTGTACAAATATTGGGAATCAATAATGACATGAAAAATGAGCGTGAAATGGAGAAAAGAAACTGAAATGAGATCTGTGTGTGTAAAAATACCCACATCAATCAATCCATTCAGTTTATCTCACAACGTTTACTACTTAGTGGTTTGAGAATTTGATACAATCAGATGATTCCCTATTTCCATTTCAAGCTCCACATTTGCTGCTCTCTACGGCATTCCATTTAATTAAATTCTAGGTTTAAGTGAGTCAACATCACAGTCACATCTTTTAGTTGTGAGTCGTGATTACAAATACGAGATAAGAGAAAACATCTCAAAGGAGCCATAAATGAATGATAACATGTGGAGGTTAATTTACGTAACTACATGAGTCAAATGATTAAAAATTATAATAAGCCTCAAAAGTATGAACTTTACGTTCGACTTCAACATGAAGAAAGTCGTAAAATGCTAAAAATAAACAGTGAAAATGTTTTTGGAAACAAAACACAATTAGGCGAATATTTAAGAGTTTTGTCACACGTTTGATCACCACATAAACTTCAATTTAACACGTCATGACATTCTATATGAATGTCTGACTTTTTGTCCAACAGCGCACAAAAAAATAATAAAACACGACGAACAAAATTAACTCTGAGGCTTCGGGGGATGTTTTTGTCACAGACAATGGAATTTCGTGTCGCCGAAAAATTTTCACCCTCGGCTTTTATTTCTTCTTTTTTTCTTGTATTTACTGAAAGAATTTCTATTTAAGCTTTCTTAATCATGAAATGAACTGTAAGTTTGTTGATACCGGAGTTCAGAGAGATTATAAAGATTTTGGGACTTCCAAAGCTTGGTTAACCGTAAGCCTTTTCTTTGTTTTCCATCTAAATGTACAATCAGGAGCTATTCAATTTATTAACTGGGAAATTGCTCCCTTTAACTTACTTCTGACATCGTAATGAACACCTTGAAATTCCGAAAAGCAAGGCTGGGTGATTGTTGTGTCGATCTTTGTTCTGTTCCAACATAAAACTCCATCGTATGATGTGTAACAATACGAACCCTCGATCTTTCAGGAATACATTTCTATGAAATTCATATCCAAAATATTACTGAAATTAAAAATACCTCATGTTGAATGTCTCTATCAGCTTCCATAGACAAGAGACATTGCCATCCAATCGTACTGTTTATGTTTGAAAAATCAACATCGAAAGATGTGAAATTTGAATTTTCTGTGACCGCCACTTTGATTATTTTTTTAACAACTCATTCGGGTAAGTCGATGAATTGTAAAAATTTCAACAAGTTTTGTTAGTTATTTCCACTGAATATCACTTCATCAATAAATTTATTGACTTAGTTGCAACTGCAAAAGGAATTTTAGTTTCATCATTCACACTTGAATATTTGTGGACTTTTAGATAATAAAACTTTTATTATTTAATTGTTGATTAGTAAATATCAAGTCAATATAAATTATACGAATGATGTAACTCGTTTTATTAGAACCTTTAAAAGACTTTTAAACAAACTCATCAAACTCTGACATTTAAACTTATTCTCTAGTCGAAATTATTTTCTTTTCATTTGTCGATGTTTGAAACATTTTAAATAAACAATTATTGAAAAGTTTGTTGCGTAAGAACGTTTTAACAAATGACGACTGATTGCCCGAATTTAAAAGATTTTTTGATATTTTTCTACCCACTTGATGACACAATTTTATTTCAAATTTGAAAATCCTCCGCCATTGAGTTATTGAAAGCTTACACCTACATAATGCCATTTCTATATAATGCCGGTTACACCTACTGAAAAGTTCCAATATCTCCTTTTTTACGTTCGCTCAACTGAAGTTAACGAGAGTTTAATGTTAAACGTGAACGAATAGGCTTCTAAATGTCCTTATAATATTATACAACAAAAATATATCGACCAAAAACTTGGAATTAATCATTTTTTGTACTGTACAATTATATTTTATGGTACGACATGACATCACAAAACATTCAGGTTCATGAAGTATTTTGCTTTAAGCAGTTGATGTCTAAACAAATATGAAAAGTTCATACAAATTTCATATCAACTATCATCGAGGATAATTGAATTCAATTTTCATGAAAACTCGACAGGGAATCTCCATTTATAACAACCGCACCTTTGAGCACAATTCAAAATCATCTTTTTTTCTGAAAGAACTTAAGACTACCCGGTAGAAATTTCAATTATACTTTTGTTTAAAAAAATTTCAATGGCATTTGCATGCTCAATGTTTCAGACGGTTAAGACTTTCCGTTGTCTCTTCTTTCAATTGTTGCTTGCGGGTATATATGAATACATTCAAATAAACATTTGTCATCCTCCTTTTTCAACAACGACAACGCCAACGAGATGCTTGTTTTAAATATTTTTGCTACAAATGTTTTGTTGAATTTTGGAAATTGTTTTCCTTCGGAAAATATTAAAGCTCCTTTTAAACATTTTTCTCGATATTTTAATGGGAATTTAATGTAGTTGTGGATAATAATTGTCCGTAATATTAGGTAAGGAACTTTCAGTGCATAAAAATATTCAAAATTAATTCAGTTCTACTTTCAACCAAACTTTAAGCAAACTTTCAATGGTCAATGTTGTTTTAAAATTAGATGTGACAACGACCGAGAATAGTTTCGAAACTTTAATTGTTCACTAAAAGGTTTTGCTTTAAATGTTGGTGTCTGTAAATTATTAACAAAAGTTGCCCTTTAATCCCATTAGACTTTACATTATATTATTGGGTGGTTTCAAGCTCCACTAAATAATTTCATTGAGCTTGAAATGAATAATTAAACGAATTCAATTAAATATGCTTTGTCTTGACCCAGACCTCACTTGTCAAATGATTTGAGGGCAAACATTCAAGAGACATGTGTTTAGAATTACTTAAACATCTCTCAACAATCATTTGTCTTTATCTCAAACTTTCTTGCTTGCTTAAACAATTCGACGACAAATTAAGCAAAGTTAAAAAGTTAAGTTGAGTAGATGATGAATACTTATTAAAGAAAATTCAATTATCTTTATATTTACTTAATACTTTTAATTTAATTTTACACATTTTTTCTCGCTCTTAAAGTCTCCTTTAACGCACAAGAGAGCATAAATAATTTAATTATAGTAAATCGAATTGAAAATCTACGCAAGAAGAAGGAAAAGAATCGCAATCGGAAAGTCTTTTGAAGTTGTCGTGTTAGTGAGTCGTTGAACAAATCTCTTCATAAAAGTTACACAAAAAAAGCTATAAAACAAGACATGAGTGCAAAGTGATTTCTTGAATCTTAGCGCCATAAAATACATTTCAAGTGATTTGATCGCTTTATATGTTTCATCGTCTTCTTTAATAAATTCACAAAAGGAAAAAGAATAAACAACAATTTTCGCTCACTTGAAGAAGCTTCAAGATCAAAATGATTTTTTATCACGAATCACAAACCCAATTGTCAGTCATAAAATTAAATAACAGTGAAAAAATGAAGAAGAAACTGACTAGAAATAAAGAGATAAGGTTTCATTCACTAATCACTCTTTACGAATTTTTTATGTCTTGTTTTTGAAGTAAATATTAAAACAGTCGTGATAACCGTTTTGACACCAGTTGAGCGTCTTTTGCCATCAGTTCCCAAAACAAATCACTAAACAAACTTTTCGCATGTGGTCAATAATTAAGCGAACAAATTTTGATTTTTTTTCCTTTCGATTTTTTGTTTACAATAAAAAAAATTCTGAGTGCTTCCATATTTTAACTTTAAGAAATTAATATTTTATTGCTTTTTTTATGAAGAACAAATAGAAAAAAAAATATTTCCAGAGTCATCCGCTTGATTCATGTGGGATACAACATCTGCCATATACACAATTCAACTTTTATCTCCAGCTGAAGTCAATACTGCTGGCATGAGATCAAAAGCATGAACGATAGTTAATCAAAGAAATATTTTTATTTCCATCAAACTGTTTCTGAATGTTTACAATTTGAATGTTCAATGCGGAAAAGGAGAATTTTTATTATTTCTTTATGATTTTTTAAAAGCACAATCGAAGTAAAACATTCCAATTTAATTGAACTCTTCATAAATATTTCATTATTCAGTTTTCATTTAATAAAATCACAATATTTGGCATCCCACATTTGAAATTAAATATTTTATTTTTCCTGAATTTATCACTCGAATGAGATTTTATTTTTATTGAATAACTTAACATATATCCAGAAATTTATTTTAATTACTTTCTCCCGATATCCACCTTCACTTTAACGCGATAAACACCGACCGTCAGAGAGGTAACTTCTTTTAAGATAGAAGACTTTAGCCATACTAAGTTAAAAACGAAAATGTGTTTTCGAAAAAAAATATTGTACAAAATAGATTTCATTTTCACTGCCTAATACTTGGAGAATTCATTTTCTGCACATACATCACATCGAAACGACAAAAAAAAATCACGAGAGATTTCCATTCAGCTTACGATCATTTTTATTCTGTTTTTCATCGGCTTTTTGTTGAAGAGATCTTGAGAGGAAATATGACAGTAGTTGTAGAGAACTGTGAATTATTTCTTGATAAATGCTTCTTATCAATGTCAACAATGATAGAGAAAAGTTTGATACTTACAATTTGTTGAACAATCAGCAGTAACTCGAAAGTTAAGAAAGCTTCTCTCAATTTCGATTCTCTCATTTCATTTTCGGTAGGAAAATTTATTAACATTTTCTTCACAATGTTTTATGTGTGTGTGTTTGTTTGTCGATGAGAGAATTACTGTTAGTAAAGAGATAAAGTTAGAGGAGAATAACAACAATCGAATATTTCTCCATTTACGTTTGATTAAGCTTTATTTTTCTTCTCATGTCTCGAAGTAAATGTTAGCTTTTGTGAAGCTTCTTAAAAAAAATAATTGTTGAAGATAAATTTTTGCTTTTAAAGACATGTTGAAAACAGAATTTAAAGTCTTAAATGCGATAATAGGAATGAAAAATGAAGCTTATTTAAATGTCAATTTGAAAAGCATGAAATATGCAAGATATTTTAAAAAACAAACTGAAAATATGAGAAGATTTGAAGAATTACATTGCTTGACGATTATGCTTGAAATTTAAAGAAAGATATGAAGATTTGAAAAAAGAACAAGCACATTTCATAACAAATGGTTTCTTTAGAATATTCAACAGGTTATAAATTATGAAACTTTAATATTTCAATTTCACGTTTTCCTGTATAAAGTGTCTTAGTGATTGTTTAATAACAATTGAAATTTATTGTTTTTGCTTTCGACAAGAAAGAAGAGTTAAAATGAAATTTTTTATGTAATAAAAATAAAACATTTCCTCCCTCTCTTCATCTTCTTGAACTTTCTATGATAAAGATAAATTTCCCCTGTGATTCGAAACGAATTGTTTTATCTATTCTTAAGTTTATTTATGTCGGTAGTTTTTGATTTCTTTAAACAAAGTTTTGAGTTAGAAACGTTGAATTTGTTAAAATTAAAGCCTCAAGGAAATTCACTTTAAAAGTTTTTAGCAACATTTATAATTCAAATTTTAAGAGTATCGAATTTTTTTCTGATCATCTTTAAGAAAGTAAAGCGATTGATGTTGATGTTGCTATAGACATAATAAAAGTTGTGAACAAGTAAATATTTCCATCCATTCTTCGATAATAACAATTTTGATACTGATCCATGTTTAATTATTATCTACGCTTCGATTACCAACAAAACATCAGCAAACCGCTAGAGAAATCGACTTAAAACATAAACTTTCATTTATGCTTTATTAAATATTGATGATGATAAGAGTTTCCTAAGTATTCCCATGGCGAGACATTACTTAGCAGAAACATCTGCTAAACATTCTTACTACAAGATAAGTAAGGATGAATATTTTAAAACTCATGTCTAGAAATATTTGAAGATGAAGTCAGTGAGAACATAATTGAGTTAAAAGTATATAAGGTTGTGGAAAGAGATTGAATTACATGAATTGTTTAATTAACTTTTTCATTCTATCAATAAGGCTTTCAAATACATAATGTTGTGTATTGTTAATAATTTAGTTTGAAATTGTTATGCTGAGGATACGCCCAAGTTCATTATACTTATTGATAAAGCAACCTTCATCTTACATATAATAAAAAGAATGATTAATTATTCATGTGAACTTTAATGGGTGGCTGCACTTCATCAATTTCCTTCCTTTTTCATTTTCAATTTCAATAAATATGTAACAGATGAATTTCGATTTATGAGATATGTCATAAGAAGAAATTTATATCCTTCACTTCACTTCATTTTTGAGTGAGTGTTTAAGAAAGAAAAGGTAGATAAGTTCCCTTTAGATTACTCTTCGTCTGAATTTCTTTGGGCAATCAAACGCAACTTTCGATACGTAAGATTTGCTTGAAAGGATTCAATTTTCTTTCTAAAAAATTCATTTTCTAAGCTTTTTTAAGAAAACTTTCTTCTTCGATGAATTTTTGATTTTCTCTGGAATTGTTTTTGACAGTATGGAATATCTAAAAGAGAATCTTCGTTTGAGAATTCTTTCAAAGCAGTAAGGATTATCAGTCTACGTACTTAAGTACGAATTTTGAAGAATTATCTTTTGATGTTGTGATATTTTTAGGAATTTTTCCAACCAAATATCAATGTCAATTATCTTAACAATAAAACATGTCAAACAAATGTTTTACTTCGAAAAAATAGAAAATGTCGAATTTTGTTAGTAATCGACAACCCTACTCAAAATCCAAGCAATCATTTTTTCAACAATTCCCTCAAGCACCATTTTCATACGCACTCAAATTTATTTAAATATGAACGAAATTGAAATCTTTTATGAAGAATTCATTCCAGGAAATGGCATTTTTGTCAAATGTAAACGAAAATTAAGAAAGTTTTTTACAATCGAACCATCAAGTTTTCGAACTAAGAATCATTTAAAAAGTTCTTCGGCTATAAAAGTGGAAACATTTCGTCATCTCTTCCATCACAGCAACATTATACATTGCTTCAGTCGTTTCAGGTAACATCAAAATAACATTTTCGTAGGTGTATTTATGTATGAATTCATGTAGCGAGAACTCTTTCTAAATTTATGATTCCATTATTCTGATTTTTTTTTCCTAAGGCAGTACTGGGAAGTGCTAATGATGATAATCTATGGAATGGCATTCATCTTTATCCCTTATGATGTTGCCTTTCACTACGGCTCAAAACGTTTGGAGTCGTCCTTCTTCATTAGCAGCATAATCGTTCTCATTGGTGAGTCGCTTAAGAAAAGCCCGAAGATAAGGAAATTTAGAAGGAAAAATCTTTCTATGACTTTCAGATATCGTTTGCTTAATGGACATCGCAATTAACTTTAATTCCAGTTATGTAGATAGTCATACAAAGGAAATTGTGCTTGACAAAAGAAAAATTATTAGAAATTATCTGAGAGGCTACTTTTGGATTGATCTCCTAAGCTCAATTCCTGATCGTCTCATCCTAGCCTTGGTAAGTTACGTGATTTATTTCAATTAAAAGTTTTTCTACTCAATTTCATTTATGCTTATTTCAATATCACGATAAACTTTTATTTGAGTTCCTTTCTTCTCTGTCAATGATATCATTAATTAGAAAGTTCCTATTCTACTTCATTTCAGCTCGGCGATATAAAGCACGATTTAATTAAACATGACCTAAATCATTGCATCATTGATGATGCCTTGATGTCATCTTTTGCTTGCTTTTGGGATTTTTTTCTCATTCTATTCTTTCTTAAAATCTTTCAAATGCCGTTGTTTTTCAAGTATTGGAACAATCTTATCAAAGATAATAAGCACAGTAATTACTTCATCAGTGTTGTTCAGGTTTGCTTCTTTGAAACGTTCGCCATCATGTAATTAATTCTCTTTCTTTAGAACTTAGTTGGAATCATCTTTTGTCTACACATCGCTGTATGTTTACATTTTCTTATTATCCGAATAAATATCCCAGAACTCAAGTCAAATAGTACTTCCTACAGTACCCTATTAAATGACGAATTTTGGAAAATTACGAACAGTAAGAGATTATTTCTCAGCAACAGGTTGTTCCTCTACATAGTAATGACAATTTTTCTCTTTTTTGGTATCTCTCAGTAGAGAAATATTTGACTTGCTTCCATTACATGATTTACACACTCTTCCTTTTTTCGAGCGATATCGAAGAAGAAACTCAAATCGATGTAAACTTTTCTCTGTGTATTTATTTCGAATCAATTTATTTCATCTTCTTTTTCCCATCCAGATGATTATTGGCATCGTATTTACTTCGATGGGAATCATATTAGATATTTGGTTATTGTCGAAAGCTTATATGTTAATAAGAACGAAATATGGCCCTAAACTTCAGTTTCAAGAGATTCGATATCAAATGCGAGAATATATGGCATTTAAACGCTTAGGAAAATCCACAAAACAAAGAGTCTTAAAGTTCTACGACATTTCATTCAATGGTGAATTCTATCGAAAGCGAGAAATCAATGACATGCTACAGAAACAATTGAAGCATGAAGTGGCAACGGAATTAAATAGAGAACTATTGAATAAAATATATTTCCTCAAACATTTAAGCCAAGAGATTTTAGATACACTCTACGATTCTATGTCAGAGATGATTTTCATGCGAAATGATGTAATTTGCAAAGTCGATTCAATTCGTCCCCAGGTGAATTAAATATGACACATTTTTCCTAGAAACGTTGCTCTGAACAAAGTTTATTTATACATAGAAACTCTATATCATTGTCAATGGTTCTGTCGCAGTGTATACATCGGATGGAGATGAAATTACTCACCTTCATGATGGCAACTGCTTTGGTGAAACTTTTCTTTTAACAAAAGAAAATAACGTCTGAGATAGAATTCCTTTGTTTTCAATTTTTGTTCTCATTCTTTTTATTACATTCTTGTTTAGTTGAATATGAACTATGTTGCTGTTGAAGAATGTATTTTAATGGTCATAACACGAAATGACTTTTTGAAGGCTCTTGCAGAATATCCACAGATAATTGATGCTTTGAGAAAAGACTTGCAAAGACGATTCAAAATACCTCAACAAGAAGACAAAGAAGAAGGATAAATCCTTGAAATGTATTGCTTCTTGAAATATATTTTAATATAAATTTTACATCTACGAACTTATCTTTAATATTTTTTTAGATCTCTAAATTCTCCCATAGCAGAAATTTTTTAACGGATTTTAACTATTCAAAAGTTTGGAGACAAATTCCTCCGAAATTTTGGAGGCTTTTCTGTTTACATTTTATTTTCTTTTCAATTTTCTTTTGCGGTCTTCTTTTGTATAAAAGCTTTGAGTAATTAAATATTTATTATGGCTCCAAAAAAAGATACAAAAGGTGGCTCTAAAGACAAAGGTGGTAAAGCTGGAGCTGAGGACAAAGGTGAAATAATTCAAATTGAATAAGTCGATGTTATTTTGATCGAAGATTACCTATTTTAGGAAAAGAAAAGAAAGGAGGCAATGCTGTTAAAGTTAGACACATCCTTTGCGAGAAGCAATCTAAAATTCTTGAAGCAATGGAAAAACTTAAGGCTGGTCAAAAATTTCCCGATGTTGCATCTGCGTACAGTGAAGACAAAGCAAGACAAGGTGGTGACTTAGGGTGGCAAATTAGGGGAGCTATGGTTGGACCTTTTCAAGACGCTGCCTTTGCCCTTCCTATAAGCACAGTTGCTAATCCAGTATACACTGATCCCCCTATCAAAACAAAGTTTGGATACCACATAATTATGGTTGAAGGAAAGAAATAATAAAAAAAATTTACATCAAAAGTCAAATTGACGATGAATTTTCTTTTCAATTTAAATAAAATTTTTAGATATGTTATTTTCAAATTTTCTTCGAAGTGAAATTGTCGATTCTAGTCACATATTTTGAAATATTTTTTTTTGGCATCAGAAGTCAAATTTACAATGAATTTTCTTTTCCAACTTAATTTAAATAAAATTTCCAGATATGCTATTTTCAAATTTTCTTCGAAGTAGGATTGTTGATTCAAGTAACATATTTTGAAATATTTTGAGGAACGAAAGTTCGTGGAACTGCTTGCAAAAACATTCATTAGCTTTCTCATAAAAGATTTTAATCAATTTCAAAGCTTTCAAACGCAAAAGCTCATTAATTTAGAACAAATTTTGAAGGATGGGATAATCGTCATCAAACCTGACAACATCGGAAATGGAATTAATTATTCTCAATATGACCGTCTTGATGCACCCTTGAAATGAATTGTTAATGTCATCTGTACCTGGAGTTGTCTGAAAATGAGTTTTCTTAAATTTATAATGAAATAAAAAACAAGTTTTTCTTCATTTGCTGTATTTATTATATAAAGTTTGTGAAAACTGTTATAAATATTTTTCTTTTCTTTTTATAAGCCGATAAGCTAGAAAGCAATTTCTTTTCATTAAAAACTTTTTTTTTCTCAGAATCAGAACGAAAACAAATATATTTACTTATTTTGTTGACGCAGTTTTAAAGCTTTCAGTCTCATGTTTCATAAGTAAAAAAAAGTTAATAAACATTGATAGGAGAAAGTTTTGCTAGTATCACCAAAAGAAAAAAGTATGAAATTTATTGATAAAGGTAATCAAAAGCATCTAATAAATAATTAAGTGATAATTTTCTGTCTATTGTTCTCTTAATCATAGATTGAAGCTAAACATATCATTAAATTTGAAAAATCATAAGAATCCGCGGCTTTAAACTCAATTTAATTCCTTAACAATACATTAAAACAAGTTTTGATTATCTAACGAAATAAAATTCAACTTTGAGTTGATTTACAAAAAAAAATTGTGAGCAACTGGTTTATATTGAATTCCAAGAATTTTTTAAATTCTTTTCATTTTAAAGCAAGTAGAATTTGATAATTTTTGGCTATTACCATTCAAAAACAATTTCTTTTTGTATTCAAAGTACGATTTTCTTCAAATGTCAACAGAATAAAAAAATAAGGAATTACTTGAATGTCGTCAATAAGCTTAAATTACTTTTAAAAAGAATTTTTCTTACATTCACAAATAATCTTTTCTAAGAAACATGAAAGGAAACTTGAATGAATGCTTTGAAGCAGTTTTAAAGCAATTGAAGAAATCTTCATTTCTCTTAGATTGCAACAACATTAATTTCTGTTCTTGTATCATTTTTTCTATTTATATTTGTATAAAAAGAAACTTTCATCTTAATTTTAATAATTATCAGCTATACTTGGCATCTCGATTCTTATTTACTAGAGCTTTAACTTTATTTAATCTGAATTGAGAAATAAAACAAACTTTTGCCGCCACCATCATCTTCCTGTCCACCAATCTTAGCTAATCAAGCTTTTTATTTGTAATTCTGACATGACATCTGAAAGCATTTCAAGCATTTTTCTTGCAGTTCCTTCAGCAAAGTTAACCAAATGAATTGTTTACATTCAACAATTATTCATTTTCAGTCAATTCAAGCAGTCAATTTATGAAGTTTACATAAGGAACATGATTCACTTAAAAGTTAAGAGACCTGATTTATGACTGAATCCTATTTGTCTTCAACAAGTTCAATGGATTCTTTAGCTGTTACTTTTCTGATTCTCTGAATCACGTAGTGACGTTATCAGTCCATCAAACTCACTTAATGACAATTCAAACTCATCAAGTTGTCTCGTCAAGTCATCAACTATCATTTCATTATCAACTTCATCAAAAGTTGGATCATCGCTGAGTGCTAAAGATTCCAATGGTGGTGCGTTAAAGCATTCCCGATAAAACTTTGCAAGGTCACCGATTGGTGATTGATTGGCAAATGGAAAATGCTGAAAATGGAATGAGAAATTTAAAAAGAATTCTCAAGACAAATATGAAATAAAATGTTACCAGCTCTTTAAGAAGCTTATCGTCTTCTTTATTTTCACGCAACGACCATCGAGATTTCATCGAATTGGGTGACGTTCCACTACTGTTGTCTTTTGGTGAATTTGAAAGTTTCGCTGCTTCAGCAATTCGATTATTCAAACTGTTGCTGTTGTTATTATTGTTGTTGTTGTTATTATTATTATTATTAGGTGAAGAATTATTAACGTTGAGTGACTTTGACAACTTTTCATCGTCAGTTTTATTTACAGTTGTTTCAGGTTTTGGCTTTCGTAAAAGCCAACTAAACGGTGGTGTTTCTGGAAGATTGTAATCTTGTTCAGTATATTGTGGGATGCGACTTCGATCAACAAAAGCCCCACATCGCATTGGCTTCTCTAAGTCAATAACTCTAATGTCACTGCCACTACAAAACAAATGGAAATAAAATTTATATTTAATTGAATAACAAGATCATCTGCATTTGAATCATGAATCATTATGATCTGATTTGTCGACACAGTCACGCCACACAAATGAACTTTTGGGATTTCCGTAAATAGATTTCTGTTCGTCCCTCAAAACTCATACAAATATTTATGCCCATCATTTGCCTCTTTTATTAACGAAGAATAAACGAATAATAAAAAAATATTTTGTTTACTCAGAGATTAGAAAAGAAGCGAGGTCGAATCTTGTTGACAAAAAAATATTTAAAAATAATGAAACATTGCATTGAATTTTAATGTCACGAAGGGTTTCAATCTTTAAACCTTTAAATTTTTTTTTCTATCTTTAAGTTTGTTTTTAAACTTTAAATAGAACGAAGGAAGTTACAAAAACTTTGTAATAACACCGCGATTTTCTGTGAGTCAATATCTGATAACAAAAGAGATCAAAATAAACATTTACAACAAACAATGAGGGCAACTGCACTTAACATAAATTCCTTTTTTGTTGTGTCATTCATAAACATTCAACAAACTTGAAATTCATTAAGTTGTATTTTTCAAAAAGATTTTTTTCAAGTGACTCATAATTACATCAACTGCATTTCATTTTAATGCATGAAATCATAGCCAGACGTCGATTAGTGTCGTCAGAATCAAAAGCAAAAAGAGTTCAAGTCACTTTCATAAATTTTTATTTTTCAATTCTCACGATTGAAAACCGAACTCAGTGGGATAAGAAGAAATCGACAATATTTCTATTTTACTATTTAAAGTTGCCTATAAATTATAAGTTGTGCAAGAAAACATTTAACTGAGGAAACGAAGGCGGAATGGTTTTACAATTTCATTAAATTTATTATCGACTTCATTTTAAACTATAAAAAGTATCTCTTACTCGGTACTCTCACCACCCACGACAATTCAATTCAACTCGCACACATTCCATTCACATTTCACATGAATTACTTGTCATTTCTTATTTAAATATCTACTCACTTCTTTTTACTGTAGTTTGGATATCTAAGATGGGTTGGACTCAATTCATTCAAGAAATGATCACTTTTAAGCATGATTGTGTTATCGCAAGTGTTTTGTGTCGGTGAAATTGTCATTTTTGTCCGATATGCAACAGCCATGGTTACGCTTCCTATTTGTGTTATTAACTGACCGATACGAACTTGCTTGTATGATTCGCCTGTGAAAAGATAAAAATAACGAAATGAAGTTTCAGTCGAACAAACTAAATGAGTTTTATTTTACAACTACAAGTTTAGGAAAAAAAGAAGTCATGAGAGTCGTTAAGTGACGTCACATTTACGTAAATGATCAAACGGAAGAATGACTGAATGAATATATAATAAGCAAATATAAGTTTATGAAGTTGTGTGGTGAATATCAACGACTTTTTTTATATTTATTCATGGCTGATAACAGAGATTGAAAGTTTAATAAACGCTCTCTAATCTCACATTGTATCATAAAGTTTTATTGTTTATTTTATTCATATTAGTTATAAGAATTCAATGATAACGGTAACATCATTTGCGAAATTTTTATGCAAATTTTAGCCTAAATGTCAATGCAAATAGTGTCGCGGTTGATGGCTGAAGGTTTTCATACTTTCACTGACAGAAATTTGGAGAACTCGAGGCTGAAATCATCTGATAAACAGTGGTAATGGTAATGAATAAAACTCTTCTAAATAAACTGTCATGAAACCAAGCCTTAAATCGTTACTTGATTATTATCTTCACACAGCATTAGGTGACGAATGGAATTCGCGATTAATAATTCAACTTGGACTTCGAATTTGGTTTCGCTTTCCTAACTCAGCTTATTGTCATTTATTTCTTACATAACGAAACTATGTAATCATTTTTTGTGGTTCGTAAGAGACAAATAAAAATAACCAAAACACGCAAATCATTAGAATAATCAAAACAAAAACCTACAACTTGATAAACGACCTTCAGTCGTAACACTAAATTAATGTTTGGAAAAACTCTTGATTGAATTTTTTCTATTGTAGTAGGTTTTTTATTCTCTTTTCTAGAAGATTGTTTCATTCTTTAACAACAATACTGAGCTGTGTAACAAAAATTCTAAAAAAAGACATCATAACAAAGTCCAACGTGACGAGCGTTTTTACGCTCATACAAAAACTTGACGTAAGTATGTTGAATGAATTTGATTTTTATCTGCTTTCAACTGGAAATTATCGTAGATATTTACGAATGTGGGATCAAAATACAATCAAGAAAAGATGAGAAGAAACTTCAATTGCCCTTGAAAAGTACAAGAGCATTGATTGCAAAAGAGTTATTGAATATCAACTTTCAAATTGAATCCAAACAAAAATAATTCAACACTTTAAACAGAAATTCCATTGTTTTGTGGGTTTCTTTTTTTATTTTGATTCATCATGAGGCTTTTCCCAGTGTGATATTACGCAAAACCTTCATTAACTTTAATCTACTGAATTCAATGAAAATGTTTTCTGTTCAAAAGATGAAACAATTTTTATCTTAGGCAACAATGCTGAATGGAATTGCATTCATTTGAAGGTTTCGTAATTTTTAAACATAAAATTTTTCTTTGCAATTATCTCTCGATAAATCAAATTCCTCGCTTTAATCTTCTTAACATGAAGTTGATTCGAGTAATGACGTTGAAGAAGCGAAGAAAGAAATAAATGATTATTGCTTCTAATTGCATTTTACATTTAAACTATCAAAACAACTTATTTTGTAAACATGAGTTGAATCAACTCATCAAGAGGAAAAAAATCTTCATCAAAAAAAAAATATAGTTAACAGCAGTAAATTACGTCAATCTTCATAAACGAGCTGATTTCGAAACAAAGTTTTTTTTCATAAGAGATCATTGAAAGCCGACTACGCTGGTGTTTATTTAATCTGATAACAAGGAAACTATTAACTCGTCATGACGTTTGTATTTAATCTCTCTCGTGCAATCATTTAGGTGAGAAAAATAATCAAATAAAATAAACTCAGAATAACGGAAAATAAAAATATTTTCTAAGCTCGCTTGGCGAGAAATAAAATTCTGCATTGCAAATAAATATTTTTTTGCTATTTTTCACACTACCGATCATCACGTAGACCAGAAATACTCTCAATACTATGTCAGTTATATGGCGCCAGCAGTTTGCAATTTTTTTTTCTTTACTTCAATTGTATGAGAACAACAAGCGATGTTTACACATTCTCGAGTTAAAGCCACAGAAGAAAAATAATTTGCAACGTGATTTCAGATGTTAGGCTTCTCATTGAAGCCGTAATTGATGCTACAGCTACTCACAAGATTTAAGACCATTCAATTCTAAGCTTCAATTATCAATCACAGTTCTTGTTAAGAATTTGCGAAAATAAAATAAAAAAGATAAATAACTCGACAGTTTGAGTCAAACATCAATCAAATATTTAGCAAATGTTGAGTGTGGTTAAGGCGATTCAAGGCTGTAAGACTCAAGTCTTCCTTTAAAAAATGTTCAGATGAGTCCATGAGAATTCGCATTTGAAAACTTTTCCTGTTTTTAAAATATCACGCGGCTTTAAGTGTCGAAGATTATTTAAAGAAAAAATTGATTTCACCTTCAAATCGCTTAATAAACATAAAATAAATATTGAGAAGAATAAATTATTGAATAATTTTTGATGCAATCTTACTTCGTTATCAAAACTTGATTGAGTGATTGGTTTGTTTTTTTATTATTTGACCGATACGATGAACACAAAATAGCCACAAGACAATCGAGTTTCTTATCAATAAGTCAAATAAAACTTAACAACACCGCTTCGTTCCACTTTTACTTCAAAATTACTTCAAATGAAAGTTAAATAAAACTTCTATTATAATTTAATTTATCAACTTGAGGTTAATGAAACCTAAAAAGTCATTCTTTTTCGATTTTAATCAGTCCTCTTTGCATTGCAAATTCAAAAAGAAAACAACTTTCTACGCAGTCAAAAGGAAATTGAATTCTTTTCTGTCAAACGTAACGTCACTTGTTGAATAACGACTTGACACAATTTTGTAAACTTTTCGAAACATTAAGCTAATTATATGAATTGTCATTTGTAATTATGAGCTGTAACTAGAAGTTAACCCGTGAAATTACAGAAAAAGACCAGCAATCAGTGTGTGACGAACATTCTTATTGGAATACTTCAATGGATTTTTTTCAAATTGCGCAATATTTCGAGTTGGAAGTCTTACAAATTGTATTCATAAAGTGAACATTCTGCTGTCAAGTTCACCAATAACTTAATAAGTTTATAGGTAACATTTCTAAGGATACATTGTTGCATGGTAGTAAAAATGTATTTAAAACCTGACCCAGTCAAACCATTCCAAATTGCAAAAAAATGCGCTTAGAAATTATTCAACTAATCGTTTGTAGCTTATTTCAATTTCAAGCTTCTTAAATGACAAAAACCGTCGTGTGAAACTTTACAAAATTATTTTTAGTTTTCCTGCAACTGTGAAATGCGAGAAAAAGTTTCGTCGTGTCATGTGAAAAACAGTCAAGTGACACGTAGACAAGAAAGTGTCTGAGACTGAATAAGTAAATAATTGATTTGATCACTCTCAAGGTTTGTTTACGATATAACGCAATGAAAAGGATTTCATGATTTATTAATAGGATGCAAGTAATTGTAAATTCATTTTCATGCTTTGCTGCTTTTTCCTTGACAAACAGGAAATCTTTTTCAACCACAATATTCATTTCCATATCAAAAAATAAACAACAGTCGAATGCTTTCCAGTTAAACTCGTGTCTAGAGCGTGATTTTTATTCATTTTCACATTAATCTCTCAATTGACATTTGTTATGGAGGATCAAAGTATCGCCTTTCATTTTTAAGTTAAAACAGAACAAAAAAAATGTTTTTCACCAAATTGTTTGTTGATAAAGTAATATCAGCAAAGCCACGAAGTCACAAGCAAGCAACCAACCAACCAATTATTTATAAATGTGATAACAAAGTGAGTTAAAGTGTTTACGAGAGCTTTGGCTTAAATTAGCGTTCAACAGATAAAGAACGTCAATGACACTTTAATTAAAAATTTATGAGATTTGATTACATAAAGCTTGTGTTCAAATATCTAACGAAAAACTTCACCAGTCAACCTGCTTACTTATTTACTTGTGCTTTGAGACTTGCTTGATTATAACTTAATAATACATATAAAGTAAATTGAAAACATAAAGAGGGTCAAGGCTGAGTGTAAATCATACGTTGAACATGAATGAATCGAAATGTTTAATCTGGAAAAACAATGGAAAAACCAGCTTTGAGTATCATCAAGGTCTTCAACACAACTCGGTGTCAGAGCGCATCGTTTAGTTTCCATTCGGTCAATTAACTTTCGATTAAAAGGAATGTAAACTTGAAAATCTTTTGTATAATTAGAGAAGTAATGAAAATTCGATGTTGAGGTCTGATTTATAAGAAATTCAATTTGAGTTGTGAATTTTTTTTAATCTTGTGGTTGTGAAATGTGTGGAAATCGTGATTTCTCGACTCACCTAAATTATGTTCCGGCTCTGCGCTGTAAATTCTGTAGTAGATACTATATGAGTCTGAAGATTGTCTACGACTTAACTTATAAGCTGGTGTCACTCGTGTTATTGATAAAAGTGACTTAAGCAAATTACTCATACGATTGTAGATCGAATATGTGGATTTAATCAATGGATCAGCTGAATCTTTATTGATGTTCAGTGACCAAACTTCTAATTGCATTTTATCACCATCAACAGTTTGAAGTGAAATTTCCACGCAAAGTGGAAAATGATTTGTTATTAAATTATCGCTTTGACCAGTTTGTAAAGCTTTCTTTGTTTCCGATAGTATGTCTGGATGGTCTCGAATTGCGATATTAAACTGAAAGTAAACAACAGAAATCAGACAATCGAAGCGTTAATAAATATCTAGAAAATATTTATTTGCTCGTCAACATGTTTACGCTCAAAGTATTTTACAACTTATTTGTCACAGATTTGATTTTCATTTTCACTTGGAAGCAGGCTAATGACATTTTGAAGTCAATTATTGTTTCATTCGATATATAAATAATTTCATTACTCCCAGAAGCAGAAAAACACGAAAATTTTCTGTTGTTTCGGGTGGTCAATCAACAGACAACAATTACGCCTTCAATAACTTTATGTGATCACATTTATTTTGCTTTGATTGATTACAATTTCAATTTGTGGAATAAAAATTTGTTTTAAGTTTTCTATCAGTTCCGTGATATTATAAAAATAGAACTTCGTGCTGTGCTGCTTAAACTGAACAGATGTCGCTTTTGCAAACGTGATCAACGACAACAAATCACAAGTTTAAGCCATTCGGTTTTTTCAATTTATCGGATTGAAATATTATTACTTTACAGGTTTTTGAAATCCATCGAAAGAAGCTTCTTTTAAATTTTAAATACATTGAAGAAAGCTCGATTGCATTAATAATTAGCATGTCTAAGCAATCGACTAACATCAAAGTTAACAAGAAGCAATTCCATAAAAATGACTATGAAATCTAAATGAAAGTTGTTTTTAATGCAATCGACTGTGTTGTGCTGTTTGTGTAGTTATAAGAACACAAATCTTTCAAACGGACTTTGCTGGAATTCGACCTTGTTAAGCGGAATTCAAAACGCCGTGTGCCATTCAAGCAAATCATTTTTTCTTCTTTTTTAATTCGTGTAATAAAGTTGGCGCGCGAACTAGTAATTAATTAATGTTGCTGAACATATAGAGCAAAAAGAAAACGCATTCGACATTTGATCGAGATTTGTTTGGGAGTTTTTTTTTTCATTGAGCTTTGTTAAGATGTTTAACCATAAAAGGCTTTGGAAGTTCTGTTTCAGCTTTACCGTTGCTGCACAAATATAGCTTGAACGAATCCCTCGCAAAAGCTGCTTTAACAGCCCCGGGAAATTAACCGATGATCCCACATGCTTTTAATTGCCAAAACGATCTTTCAGTGCCAGTCATTTTCTTCACATTTCACTCCTCGAAAATCTACGTGAGAAAATTGTTTGTTCATTTTAAAAACAAGAAATAATTTTAGTTGTAAATGTTTCTCAAATGAATGAGGTAAAGGACTTTCCGGTTTGTAAGATTTTCTTCGTTTTACTTTGTCGAGTGATTTATTGAGACTTGACTTGTAGAAATTAATGCGCAACTCGCCACAAATTAAAGGTGTATGAATGTTCTTATTAATTTAACTGATAAGTCTTATCATTCTTTGTGAAAGATTAAAAAAAAACAGCCATCAAAGATTTATTATACAACATCACTACAATGTGGGAGGAACAAACGCTAAATATCAAATTCATTTTTTCTGTCTATTCGTATTTTGCTCAAAATCTGTTTTAAATATATTTTGGTTTTGCTGAATCTATTTTCATCTGACGCCATGAAAAAAATAAAAATTTGCAATTGAAGAAGACAGAAATAAAAAGTTTAATTATTTTAAACATTCGGGCGCTTTTGAGTGATGATCCAATGCAACTGCTGTTTTTTTCTTCTTTAATCATAAAAGCCAACACGACATTTTCCTTCTCTTTTTTTCCTTTTCAGATGTATTAAAATAAAATAAAATTTAAACGTGGAATTTGCTTGGGAACTCACTTGATGTAGTCAAACGCGTTTTCTGTTGAAAATTTTATAGTTTGCAGGTTTCTTCTACACGCACAATCACAGGTGTGGAGCTCGTCAATGTAATTTTCATGATAATTTCCAGTTCACTATGAATACAAGTTCAACATACTCTAAAATAATTTATTCGATGAGCCTTTTTTGAATTCACAATTCAACGACTTCTTAAGTTCACAGTTTTATAAACTCTTTTTCCTTTTAAGTCTTGCTTTTCAAGCTTATTTTTATTTTTTGCGAAGGAGTCGGCGAAAAAAGAAATTCTCCAATGAAACGCGTGGGATTTTCCATAAAATAGTTTTTCTTCTACATTGGAAAATATCTTTTATATTCCACGATATATGCTTTCACAAATTCTCACTTGATTAATTTATAAAAACCGATAACCTTCTCCACTGTATATAAACGAAGGCAAATAGCTTTGAATCAACTTTTATACAAATATTTTAAATTCATCAGCAATCAACCGGATGGGTCTGAATTCATTCAAATCCGCTACTATAATGAACAAGCGTCGGATTGTGTTGTGTAGACTCTACACGACAGAGAGAAAAAAGTCTCCATTAACACACCCAAAGCCTGGCAGACACGACAGATGTGTACATATTTCCCTCTGATATTCATGCAACGTGATTCTCATGCTGTAACTTTTCTTAGGAATCGATAAATTTTATTCTCTCTTTCGATTTTTTTTCTCTTGACTGAGGTCAGCTTGAATGTGTTGGTAAATATTTGCATCATGTTTCATAGCGCATAACTTTAAAATCTCGTAATACTCATGTTTATGTACAAGTGTTAGTCTAAATTGAAGAATCAAATCGAGCCACGTAATACGAAAAGTGTTTTTTATCAACTCACACATTCAACTTTCTGCAGTTCTACTACGGTAGTTTCACGTAGCAACAACTTTTGAAAGTAAACAAACTTACACAAATTAGTGCATGATAGGCGCGAAAACGTCGCTTGAATCATGTACACCTTAACGTACACGGAATTCTCTTTACTTTCTCAGCGATGCAAAGGAAAACTACATTCTTGCAGATCATAAAACTCGAGGTCAGACTGTTTACAGAGAAAATATAAACAAAACCAAACAATGAAAGTTTGAATCATCTTTTCATCTTTGGGATATTCTCTTTTTGCAATCAAATATTTGCGGAATGTTTGTTTATTTCTACAATCGTCCGTCAAATCTGAATGTTACTGAATCACATTGAATGATACATAAAAATTTTATTCACAAGATAATATTATAAAAATTCATTAAAAAACGAAGTTTACGATGATAAAGACACGTGTAACTTTTCAGATCGTTTATTGCCCTCTCATGTGCTGCAGTATCTGGAAATATTTTCTTGACATGTGAATGTATCCGTCATATTCAATGTTTCAAAATCAGTCTTGTTTATAAACTAAATTAATTTTCATGATAACAGCGTTTAGAACGAAAAAAATTATCTGTGAAAAGTTTTGAGAATTTGCAAAGCGAAACAAATACTTGATAACATGATTTTAAAATAATTTTAAGTACCTCTCGACCACAAAAGTGTCGCATTACGATAAGAAATTTATTCTTATCATCTCATCACTTGAATGACGATTAATAAGAACATGTGAGTAAACAGTAAACTTATGGCGCCCCCATTGAAACGTTTTGGCTTTTGTTTTGATAAAAGTATTAATTAACGATCAAGATAAGCAAAATGTTCAAGCGAAATCAAATTTATGGTCTTAAAGCTTTAAATAATCTTAAAGTATTAAAATCATTTCATATTTAGTCACGTTTGCAGTGTAGACCGATGAAAATTTTTCTTAGAAAAATAAAGATTAATTTAATTCCAATAAATTTCTAATTGTTCAATTATTCCTATTGGATAATCACGATACTATGTAATCTAGTAAGAGCAGCCCACATGAGAATTTAATTTGATAGACTTCACTTAAATATCAGGTTTAGGGACAGTTTACGTTATTATTTAACGAGCTAATGGAAAATAAGATTATATGACATACCAGGATCATGAACTAAGGGTATTACGATATTTTTTAATGATTAAAATTCAATCAATGACTTCAATTCCTTTTCAAAGAAAGACTCGTCATGTTCAATGGTTTTGAAAGAGTATCAATATAAGGGCATGATTTGTCTGCCTGATTTTCATTGTGTGTAAAAACCCGCATCAAAATGAGATTCTCTTGTCTACTTCAAATGAACTCATTTCACTTATTCAGAGAATAAACGACTTTAATAACAACGAATGTACGCCCAGCTTATTTTGTATAGATCAGCTGACTTTTCATTTGCAATTTCTCGCGTCATTTGATACATATTAAAAAAACTCAATATCCGTAATTCTGTATGTGAAATGAAGCTTCATATTTCGAGGAGTGTTTTTCAAATTTTAAAAATGTAAAACTGATTATTGTTAAGTTCTTTCTTTGTTTATGTTTACATTGACGAACATAAAAAAAAAGTTTTATACTAAACTGATTTACTTACCCAATCAGCTCCAGAATTGTTGCACTTTGAGTAAATAAGTCCTCCAAGTCGACTTTGCACTATAATTTGCGTTGTTTTGAATGCAAGGAACTTGATGAATTTCGATATTTCACCTTTATCTTCTTCCATTTCTCGAAACTCCTAGAACTTTACAAAACCTTACAAAATTATTTAGTCTGTTGAAAGGTTTTTTATCCGTTATTTTAGAATTCAATTTTATAGCAACTTTTTTGGAGACTTTATAGAAACTTTAAAAGAAAAAGCACAAATTACAAAATAAAATTGAAATTTATGTTTATATATCTTAGATGAAGAAAGAAGATCAATAAGTATTTATCTGTCTATATTAGCTTTGCTTTCTATGTTTCAAAACAATTATTTAAAATGCTTAAAAAACAATACGTCTGAAAGCAAATTATTTTAATGTACCTTGATAAATTGTAAATGTCAATGAATTTTTAATGTAAGGGGAATCGATTTTGATTGGATCTGTTGATAGACAAATAAAAAAGTGATTTCAATTAACTATGATAATCTTTTATACCCCACATTATAATGTTTGACAGAAATGTAGATTAAAAACGACAACACTTCATTATCGATATCGTGATTGAAAACGTCTACTGATTGATTATTTGAATTGGTTTTCAAAACAAACACAATGCATTTCATATGTTTAGTTCAGTCTACTTTGACGCTTTAGATTTTATTGTAACATAAAATTTGTGGTGAAAATATTCCTTTAATATGTCAGACATATTTTCTGAAGAGATGTCCGTTTTTATTCGGATATATCAACTGTTTTCTCTTTTTCCTATTTCCTTGAATCCCATCACAAATATATTGTTGAAAATCTACTCAGTGTTTAACATTCTATTCGTTATTGGAATATTCTTTTCCGCTTTTTTTGTTTTTCCGGTCTTGGAAGATTCAAATTCACTTTCGCTTCTTGTTGGTGGTTTAATGTTTATTGGACTTCTCGTCACCCATGTGATCAACTTGATGCAAGCTTTCACATCACGACACGATCAAATGATGATTTATAAGAAGTTTGATGAGATTGATCACCTTCTTCAAAATGAATTGCTTGTTAATATCAACTATAAACGTTTACGTCAACGATTACTGGCTAAATATCTCCTGATCACATTTTTTGTTGTAGCCATTCAAACAACAACGATTGCATCAAGTGTTGTTTATAATTTATATTTTCGTTACTTCACTCATTTGATTTTGACAATTTTTATTGTCAGAATTCGATGCATTCAGAATATGTTTTATGTTGATTTGATCAAAGAGAAATTAAATTTGGTGAACAACAAACTTGATGACACCATAAGAAGGAATCGTGAAAAAATGGCATTTGCTATCTACACTAATAAACTGCAAAGATTTGATCAGAGAATTGAAAAAAGATCATCACTTTATGACCAGTTGATGGCTTTGAAACAAGTTTATGGGAAAATTTGGGACATTTCTAATCTCATCAACGATTGTTTCGGATGGAGCTTATTGGCCATTGTAAAGTACTTTTAACTCTTATATTAATATCAATTAAATAATGCATTTTCAGGTTACACAATATTTCATTGAATTCACTTCAAATGGATATTGGTTGTTTTTAGCCTTAGAAAATCTTTTAGACCGATCAATTGCTATTCAAAGTTTATGTTCAATATTTCCTATTGTCATTATATTAACAACCATGGCATATTCTTGTCATCGATGTTCAGAAAATTCACAGCAAACAGGAGTTTTAATACACAAAATTGAACGAGATATTAACAACGATCTTCAAAACGCTTTGGTAAGAATATCCAATTGATAAGTTCCAAACATATTTGAAAGATTATTGAAATTCCTTCCATATCAGATTCGTGAATTTTCACTTCAAATCATTCACGAGCCAATTGAAATCTCTGCAAATGGTTTCTTCAACATCAATTTCACATTATTGGGATCAATGTCAGCAGCAACAGTTACATATCTGGTCATTCTGATTCAGTTCCAATTAAGTGAAATTAAGAAAAGCGGTAACGTTGAAAATTAAATTCAGTCATTGGATCTCAATAAATATGGAAAAGAAGAAAGCAATCAGTTTCAAAAAAATTGTTCGATGTTTTTGTGATTCTTATCTTAAGACATTTATTTAATACTGATTTAAATCAAAAACTTATTTCACTCTACCGTCAATTTTAGAATTAATCAAAACAGCTTTCTGTCACTCGACTTAACTTTATTGTAGACCATCATTAAATTACAATAAAAGAATTGAATAATTTTATGGATGTTTATTATATCAACCTAAATTATATACATTTTACATAAAATTTTATTTCGAATAAAGATTCATCGTTGACAATTGCTTGAAATATTTTTCCAGTTCTCCAGCAGAAAGTTCAGAATGCTTCTTTAAATGTGCTCTCATGTAATCTCTTCGTCCGACCGAAAATTTGCATCCGTTTCCTACTGGACATTTTTCTCGGATTTTCTTGTGGTTGACGAAAATATGCAAGTCCAAATTCTCCTTTTTTGCATAAGATTTATTGCAATCCTCGTAAGGACATTTAACTTGTAACTCCTTCATATGAACTTTTTTATGTCTGAGCATGTATTTATTACTTTTGAACATTTTTTCACAATCTGGATAATCACATTGAACGTTTCTTTTGTTATGTGAAACATGATGTAGTTTCAATGACTTTTCAGAATGAAAAGATTTTTCACATAAATTACAAGAATGAAGTTTGAATTTCAAATGATTAGCAATCAAATGTCTTTTAAGGTTTTGTTTGGTGTCATAAGATTTATCGCAGTGATCACATTGCAAGTTTTTGATTCTAAATTCTTTTGGGATGTGAACTTTCATATGCAATTTTAAATCAGTTTTGTTTATAAATCTTCGGTCACAAATGTCACACTGACGAAATTTCTTTTTTTCATGAATTAAATTTATATGATTATTATAACTGTGTTTGCCTTTTAAAAGTTTTCCGCATATTTCACAAGCATAATATTGAGAACTCTCGTCTGTTTGCTCATTATTTGATGTGATTGATTTATATTTTCGAATCACACGGCGAACAGTTCCCCGTGAAAATCCAACAAGCTTTTCGACCTTTCTCTCGGAAAGGAAAGGATTTTTCAAGTACACATCAACGATTCTCTGATGATTTGCATTGCCAGGAAATATTTCCGATGGATCAACCATTTTTCTAAATAGGAATTAAACAAAAATTGGATTTAAAATTGAAATTTGTTACAAAGAAGGGGTAAAAATGATTAAATCTTACTTGTTGTCAGAGGCAGATTTGATTTCATTCTTCAACATGTGAACTTTTTCATGCTTGGGCATAGCATCAGAAGAATCAGGTTTGGGTTTGATATGATGAACTAGGGAATGCTGTTTAACTTGATTTCTGGTGCAAAAGGATTCATCACAGTCATCGCATTTAAAGTTTTCGATTTTAAGCTCTTTTGCAATGTAATATTGTTCGTCTCTTGAAAGGTCTTCATATATTTGAGAAGCGGAATATTCACAATTTTCGCGTAACTGATCATTATTTGAGGCTATTGATTTATATTTACGAATCACAAAGCCAACAGTTGATCGTGGAATTCCTATTAGATTTGAAATCATATTGACAGAATAGTGAGGATTTTCCAAACAAACGCCAATGATTCTCTGATATTTTTCATTGGAGGGAAATATTTTCGATAGGTCAATAGAATGCCTAAATATAAATTATTAAATAAATTAGATTTTCTTNACCTGGTTGTATACCCAAAACATCATTTTCGGTTTTAAACCCCAATTTCTTCCGACCATTGACCTAGTCGCCCAAAGGGATCTAGTACTTTTGCTTATGACATGCTCAGCGTGTTGTTCCATATTGAGCTTGCTGTCTAACCAGACCCCTAAATATTTAACCTTGTCATCTAATTTCAAAGTGACGCCTTTAAGTTTTATCTCCGCTAAATCAATTCCTTTCCTTCTTTGCGTTACCCTCAAAAGTTGTGTTTTTGAAGGATTGACTGATAGCCCAGATTCCAGACACCAATTTTCTACAATTTTTAGCGCTTTATTCATGCGCTCACAGATTGTATTGATAAACGCGCCTCTTACGAGAATTGCTATATCATCAGCGTAGCCCACTACTGTAAAATTTTCTTTCTCTAGTTTGTTTAGCAGATCATCTACTACTATACACCACAGAAGCGGAGATAAACATCCACCTTGAGGGCAACCTTTAGTTGGAATTATATTTCTTACTTCAGATCCAATTTCTGCTTTAGTTTTCCTATTTTTTAACATAAATAAAATCCAGTTTAGTAAAATATCTCTCATTTTTATTCTTCTGCAAGCGTTTTTTATAACTTCAATTGTGGTATTGTCAAAAGCACCTTCAATATCTAAGAAGCAGACTAGTGCAACTTGTTTAAATTCTAAAGCTTTCTCCAGATCATGACAGAGAAAATGTAGCGCTGACTCAGTACTTTTTCCTTGCTGATATGCGAATTGTTTCTTGCTAAGGGGATGAACTCTTAATTCATTTGCTCTGATATCTTTATCTATAATTTTTTCCATGGTTTTTAAGTTAAAGGAAGATAAACTAATTGGTCTAAACGACTTTGCTAACTCGTATGTCTCCTTGCCCATTTTTGGGATAAACACAACCTTAGATTTCATCCAACAGCTTGGAATGTAGCTGTGACGCAGACTTTCCATGAACAGAGATGTTATTATGTCGAGAATAAAATCTATGCCTTTCTGGAGTAAAGCAGGAAAAATTTTATCATCACCAGGTGATTTGAAGGCTTTGAAGCTGTTGATAGCGTCCTTCACCTTCAAGTCGCTGATGATTGATTTTACTTCTTCAGTAGTGAAGTGAGAAATGCTTTCTTCGTACTGCATTTGCGAGGGAAAGGATTCTTCTATACAATCGGGGAAGTGGGTTGAGAGTAGTAATTGCAAACTTTCACCTATATTTCTGGTATAAGAGCCGTCTATATTTTTAAGGGAGCCTAACTTAAAGTTTTTTTCCCCTTCGAGTAGTTTTTGTAATCTTGTGGCGTCCTCCAATGCATCAATTTCTAATGTGGTCTTTTTCCAGGATTCTGTTTTAGCTTTACGGCATGATTTCATATAGTTTCTGTTTGCTACTTTATAGTTTGACCAGTCAATGTTTTTCTTGGATTTAAATGCTTTGCTAAAGAGTTTTCTTACTTTTTTTCTTTCATCCAATAAATTTTTATTCATCCATTTTGTTTTGAAGTTTAATTTAATCTTAAATGTTTTGGTGTTTTGGTTGAATGAATCGATAAGCACATTCGAGAAAATTTGAGAGTTCTTTTCGAGATTTACTTTACTGCTATTAGGTAATGATAATGTTTGAAGCTTCTCTTGTAGAGAAGCTTTGTACCCTTCCCAATTCGTTCTTCGTTTAACTTTCCCTAAGTTTTCAAATGTATCAGTTTTCAATGAGAAAAATATGGTGTTATGGTCCGAACCCGATCTATTAATGTCAACCTGCCAGTCTACTAACCTATCAGATAGTCCTTTACTGCTGACCGTAATGTCTATAAAAGTCCTTGAGTTCCCCCTCACGAAAGTTGGGATATCACCTTTGTTCAATAGGATAAGATTTTCTTTAATAATAAAATCTAGCACCTTTATACCTCTATTACATATTTGATTACCGCCCCAGATTTGATGATGCGCATTTGCATCGGCAGATAGAATGAAATCAAGTTTGTTTAAATTACAGTACCTAACTAGAGAAGTTAAATTATTGCTTATAGGTTGAACAGAGATTGGTATACCTGGAGAGTAAAAAGATATCACTACAATTGTTTTGATTGATCCGCCATCTAGCTTGACTTTAACTGTAATAGCAGTCATCAATTCATCAGAAAACTCTGTTAGAAGGAAAGGATCGAGGAACTTATTTGAGTTTCTTTTTATCCAAATACAAGACATGACTCTATTTTGGGCTTTTTTCATATAAAACAAGTCGCCATTTGCTATATTATTAACTTTGCCTTTATGCATTGCTGGCTCTTGAATCAGAAGTATATCGATAGAATCATTTCCACATTTCATTTGTAATTCGTCGAAAGCGGATTTCCGCTTACCAGCGTTTAATTGTAGAATTAGAGCGAAGTTTTCTGTGATTAAATGAGTATATTATTGTGTGGAAATCAGAGCTTTTAGAAAAGTTTAAGTTTGTTTGCATTAGAATATTTGGGAGTACTGAGTTAGAGATTAGTGTTGCATAAATTTTTTTTGTTGGGATAAATTTTGATGAATAGAACAAAGGTTTCATGTAGACTACTAATAGTATTGAGTATTTTGAATTTTTTGTTTTCTGATGACCTTTACTTACTTTTAGTTTTGCGCAAATACTACGTGTTTGTAGATTCAAATGAGACTGAAAAATGTAATTTTTAAAACTTAACGACAAAGTTTTGATTAATTCATAAATTCTCTTTATTGTGAACCTTGAGAAAAACGATCCAAGAATTAAGTACATAGGTTTATTGTAGTAAGGGTTTTTAAAGTTTGACTTCAGAAAAATAAATTCGTTTATCACAGCGGGATTAAGAGTAGAATAATGACTCGAATAAATGCAAAATACATCACTAGTCCGAATCTGTGCTTTCGCTGCCACTGCCGGGGCCGCCGAAGTTTTTTTCGTATTCTTCCAACATGCGTTTCTTCTTTTCCTTTTCTTCTTCTGCCTTTTCGGTGTCAGATTTAACACCCAAGTCTGATGAATGGGAAATATTGAAAGTATTAAATATAAAAAGTGAAGAGCAATTATCTTACTTATAGCATAAATGTTGGGATTGTTTCCTCCAATGTGAATTTTCCTGACTGTTGCCGGGTTAAAAGGTGGAAACTTGATTTTGACTGTTTTCTTTTCCATCATGAATTCATTTATGTCCCCATTTGAGATGAAAATGAATTTTTGGGGTCCTTTGAACTGACTTCTGTCTTCGAGTGCAACTGTTAACATCCAGTCTTTCGTAGTGAAGGTTTTCTTGTTGTTTCTTTGAATAATGGAAATTGTCTCCTTCCAGGTAAGTTCTGTGCGAGGTACAATTAACATAAATGCGGGGCAGACGTTTATGTCTCTGGCTGGAGAGCAAATGATGTCATACCCAAGGATTTTTGGCCAGTTCTGTTGTTTGAAGATTAATTCGTTCCACCCGGCACTTTTTACGTTTTTTTCCTTCATAATTAATATTCCTGAGACCGCCTGTATTTCGACTTGTGTTATCTTGCGTTTTTTCATTTCGTCTTTGCCTTCTCCGTACGCCTTACTCATGACGACCATGACCTTTAATTTGTCTTCACTGCTGATAACTTTGTTGGGATATTCTGACGCTACGTAAGCCACAAAGATCCCACCATCCTTTTCAACGATTTTAGGGTCTAAAAAGCGCGATGCCCCTCTTTGGCCTCTACCGTTATTTTCTTCGTTGCTTTGATCATTATTTGAGGCTATTGATTTTTTATATTTACGAATCACAAAGCCAACAGTTGATCGTGGAATTCCTATTAGATTTGAAATCATATTGACAGAATAGTGAGGATTTTCCAAACAAACGCCAATGATTCTCTGATATTTTTCATTGGAGGGAAATATTTTCGATAGGTCAATAGAATGCCTAAATATAAATTATTAAATAAATTAGATTTTCTTAAAATTATTAGAATTATTCTTACCTTTTATCTGAGGCAGAATTAATCCCATTTCCTGTCGTTTCGTCAGACGGAGATTCGGTTTTGAATTCTCCCTCAAATGGATGATCATTCAAGAGAGATTCAGAAAATAGTTCCGCAGTTGGTGGTGAAAGCACTGAAGGAATTTCTTCTGGTTCAGTTTTAATGAAAACTGAGTTGGAATCATTTGTAGAATTTGATTCATTAGATTTAGTTAATTCGTTATTGAAAATTAAAAAGTTCTTTAAGGATAGCTGTTTTTCTCTCATTTTTATTTTGAATCGATAAAAATTTCGGATATTGAAGACACAACTTTGGCAAAGAAAATCAGAAGTTCTTGATGTTGGAATGAACTGTAAATGGAAGAAAATATCAAACAGTTTTAATTTTGACCACTGAAATAAGTACCTGAATTTCTAACATATTACTTATCAAACTTTTATAGTGTTTAGTAATCTTCGTTAGTTTGTATTCTGATTCTACAGAATTGAAGCATAATCGACACTTCTTTAGAAGATTTCCTTCAGTAAAATCTGAAAAAATATCTTCAATGTTCACTGAGACATTTGAAGTCGTCACAAAAGAATTTTCACTTATATTATTTATAGGAAACATTTTAGTGAGAATCGTTTTCCTTTAAATAGGAAGTTTCTGTTAATTTTTCTATTTTATTGTAATTTGAAAGTTTATTTTCT